TGCATTTGTTAGTGTCAGATCATACTTAATTGTAATGTGTAATAAGTATTCCGTTGCATTCGCATCGCATTGCATTGAACAGTTTTGCGCAATTCCGATTGAAAACAAAACAAAAAATAAGCTGAAAATATGACGGAAGCTAGCGCTTCAATGGCACATAGACCAGTGCAAAACGTGAAAAGAGCAACGAGCTGAAAGAGTTTCTTACTTTCTTTCAATCGCATTTCTTTTGTTTATATGCTAAAATAACGAATTTTACTGAACTCGTGCGCTGTACTGAAAACTAAAAAAAGAAGAACAGCACAAAGCAGAGGAAGCCTTGGAGCTTTGAAAAGAGTGCAACTTTTTGCTCTCCCTCTCTCACCTCTCCCCATCTCCCTCTCTCTCTCTCTCTGTCTCTCTCTCTCTTCCTCATCTCGACAAAGGAAACAAAATATTAAAATAGTTGATTTCTCTACTTTGCGTTGCTAAGCTTTGCTTTGCTTTGATTAGTATTATTCCAAAAAGCTCTCTTCAACACCAACGCTAATTCGAAGTCACAGAACCGAATAGAACACAGAGCGAGTGAAAGAGGAGAGAGAGAGAGAGAGAGAGAGAGAGAAATACAAATAAGGCAGTCAGCAACAGCACGCAGCTGAAAGTAATTTTCATAATTGTGCCTCTTATGATGAAACTCGCAGTGCGCATTATTCCAATCTGGCGAAAGAATCTCATTTTTCTACTGGATGTAATTGTTAAATGCTTGGATTATAATTTACCAAGTGACTTTCAGACAGGTATTCAAATTATTTTCGTAATTGTTTTGCCTTAATCCGATTGGAATCAAACAATTTTAGTTACGCATTCCGAAAATTCTTCAACAACCACCGATTATTATTTCAATCCGAAAGAGAGGGAATGTTGAAATAGCTTTGAACTATATATACACTTTTAGTAATAGTTGGATAATAATTCATATGTTTCCCATATTGTTGGCTATTGAATCAGCTCTCATTTTGTTATTGAACGAATTCATTCAATGCCATGGCGCTTTTTTTTCGAAAAATTGTTTCCCTATTTTGCTTTTAATCACAAAATGATATCACATTATTTATATCCTAGTCATATTGTTACGTCATTTTAATAATACCAAATCCATTTGACGTCTTATCAATCTATATATTTAGAAGAAAAAATAGAAAAAAAACGGCGTAAGTAGTCAAGTGCTCATTTGAGCATTTTCTGATAACATATGCACTATGAAACGGTGCCTATAATTATCGAAAAGAGGAAAAAACTAGACCGCAGATCGTCGCTTTGCTCCGCTCTGCGTTCTTGAAGCTTGCAAATTTAAGGGGTTTAATTAATTTGATGTTTCTCATCAAATTATCATCGTAAGCACAACATGGAATGTAGTATTAATCGTAGTAGTCTTTTTGTTTAATTATTATTATTGAAAGTTATTTTAAAAAGTTATCAATTATGTTTGATCTGGACGTAATATTTTCTGAAGACGACAAAGTTGACGGGTTGATGTTGGAAATGTCTGTTTCACAAGTTTTGGTTATAAATCATTTCAATATTGTCAAAAATAATTAAATAAATTTATATTATGATATTGTGTTTTATGTTATACATTCAATGGGAATGATCATCGTACATTATTTCACATTGGTAACGAAAAAAGTGTGAATTTTTTTTTTAGTTATCTCAAAAGTGAATTACATGAACATGATTTTATTTCATTTTTGCAATTAGGCGTGATTGCTTCATTTGAAATAAAAAATATGGATATTAAAATGAATTAATTTACGGTCCAAAAAAATGGCCTAAAGACCAACAAACAATTGAATCACACCTTATTGTTTTCACTAATTCAATATTTTCAATTCATTTAAAACAAAAGAATTTGAAAAGAGTACCTTGAATGCATTTCGGTATTATCATATCAATTTCGTGATTCGTTTTATCATGTGTCGACTGGAACTAACATGGGAAATCCGCTTAGCCCATTGATTAGTGAGTTATTCATGTCGGCATTCGAACGAAAATTAAAACAAGAAAACTTGCTCCCCAGAATCTGGTGGAGATATGTAGACGATGTTTTCGCGATAATAAAGAAAGACGAAATTGACTCAGTGTAAAACGTGCTCAACAATCGATTCGATTCGATTAAATTTACGTGTGAGAAGGAGGATGATAAATGTAAATTATCGTTTTTGGACATGGAATTGTCAACTTCTGTGGACAATAAAATTGATATTGCCATTTACCACAAACCCACTGACACTTTGAGAACAATAACTAGTGATTCAAACTGTAGCATGCAACACAAATTGGCTGCGTATCATTCAATGGTTCATCGATTGTGTCGAATGAAACTCTCAGCACAAAATTACATGACTGAATACGCTCGCATAAAACAAATGGCGAAAATAAATGGCTTCAAAGGAGATTTGGTCGACGTGTTGATAAAAAAACATTTAGACAAAATAAACAAATTTAATTTATCGACATTGTTTTCGCAAAACACGCCAGAAGTGGAAAAAGTTAGAGTTGCTTTGCCATATATCCCACAAATTATGAACAAGATAAAAAATAAGTTTCGTGAATATAATTTAACCATTGTGTATACGAATCAAACCAAAATAATGAATTTGTTGGGTTCAACCAAAGACACAATTGATTCTTTACACAAATCTGGCATTTATGCTATTCAGTGCCCCGTTTGTATGTGTGAATACATTGGACAAACGAAACGTAACATTTCAGTTCGTTTCCGTGAACATTGTTTGTGCATAAAAAACAAACAGGGCTACCGCTCTGCCTTAGCACTGCATGCATTGAACAGCGGTCATTTGAACATCGACATAAGCAACTTACGGTTGGTGAAAGAGATAGGCGACGCGCGCAAATTAGACGCATACGAAAGTTACTTTATTCAGAGGAGCAACAACGCATTGAATCTGGATAACGGGAACATCGAGTCAAATTTGCTGTCTCGGTTGCTATGATGCTACACCGACCGATGTTTTTACGTGACAACCGACGACTTTTCTGTTTAGTCGTGATGCTGATGATGGTATGATAATACCGAAATGCATTCAAGGTACTCTTTTCAAATTCTTTTGTTTTAAATGAATTGAAAATATTGAATTAGTGAAAACAATAAGGTGTGATTCAATTGTTTGTTGATTTATCGGTTTTCACGTCGCTCAAGAACATATTTATTAATAATGGCCTAAAGACTCTTAAAATTTTTTTAGGAAAAAAACAACTACAGTAGCCTAAATTCCATGTAGTGCTAAAAATAACCACATAAAAATGTGTATGGTATATAATTGACCCTTTGAAAAATTCAAGCGATTCTATATTGGTTTTTTCTACCTATTCTTTTATTCGGTTGTGTATAGTATTTAAGGAGGAAATTTTTTCAATTTTTCTCTAGTTTAACATTACACAAGGCATATGCTAGTTGCCGGAGATTCTTTTAATATCAGCACTTATTATTGATGGATGCATGCATGCATTGCAAACATTTGCTTTGACATATATATAAATGATAAGAGAGATAAAGCCATGATAGAAAGTTTACATCGTAAATAAAGGAAAATATGGTAAAAATCAAATGCAATAAAAATTGACATGATAAAAATCTGTTGTACAAGTTGGCAAATCAAAAGCAAAAAGTCAAAAACAAAATAACTCGTTGGGCACGCACAACATAAATCAGCCCAACTCACGTACACATACTCTCTCTTTCTCTGCATCGAGCAGACAAAATCGGGGCCGGGGACGTTTTAAGTGCTGGAAATGTTGTTTTGAAGCGTAGTCATGCCTGTAAAAAATTTTATCGGATATGAACAAGCGTGAAACAAAGCAAAGCGCCGCCATCATACATAAAATTGATGGGTGAAACACACTCGCGAAACGACTGAGAGCGAGAGCGAATATGTGACGTTTGTTCAGAGAGTTGTGTTCGACACATCTAGTTTTCATTAGATTTGAGGGTGTAGAAAACACCTTAAACAAATAGTTGTTTGAGTGCGTTTGCCGTGGCAAAGAGAAAGCGCGCGGTTCGTTCTTCATTTTTGCAATATCGAAAATGTTCCCATTTCGCTTTTTTTTCTTGTTGTTGTTTTATCAGCCTCTTTCCAGCCCAGCATACCCTTTTTTTTGGTGTGTAAAGAGCGATATGAGATATTTCTTCATTTTTCTCACACTTTTGCATGATTTTAGAAGTACGTTTCGTTCCACCATATGTTGTAGCACGTATGCATGACAGATTTCTGCAACGAAATGTTTGCATTCACGTTTTGAAACGTTAGCGCTAATGTTGGCATAGAGGCTTGTGTATGTGTGCGTATAAACGTTTGTGTGCACACATTATTCCTTTTACATGTTGATTTATATACTGAACGTATATGTTGGTTCGGTTCGAAACCATTTTCTGCAGAAGACGTGCTTTTTTTTGTTCCTTATACTTTTGATATATCAGTCATTTTTATGAGCTGTGTGTCCGCGATATTTTTTTTATTCTTTTTCTTTTCGTTCGCTGGCCCACTCTTTGTTGGGCTTTATTGGGTGACCTTTGATATCTCTATAAAATAAAAAGTTTGTTGTGTATATATTTGGTTGATGGTGTTTACATTTATTGAGTAAACGTGTTGCTTTGAAGTGAACACGAAACTAACATAAAATGAAAGCAATACAAAAATTCAAATAAATGGGATTAATTTGCTCATATATAGTTTTGATGCATCGATGTAGATAGAACAAAAATTCACCAACAAAAAAGTAAACGCTAAATTCACATTTTAATATGTTTATTTTAGGCGAATGAGTTTTGCATGTAGAGAGATCCGTTTATTTTTTCAACTTCTCCGCTGAATGATTAATGAAGATAAAAATAGTTATTTAACTGATGTGAAATTCAATGAACCTAATTTGGTGTGTTTTTCCCCATTCTTTCCATTTCCGGTTTTTGTTTCCGTATGTGGCGGCGGTATTTCAATCGACAGGGCCTGCGACCTAATGTGACGGATGCATGCGAGAAGAACGATCCATGTCAGGTCAGTAATAGTGATTTGTCTCGTGCAAGCATCATTCGAAACTCAGAAACAATTTCGTAACTGTTTTTCTTCTACTTCTTTACAGCACGGAGGCATATGTATATCGACTGATTCAGGACCATTATGTGAGTGCCGTAATTTAGATTACGAAGGTACATACTGCGAGAAAGGTAAGTAATAGTCATGCCGAGTTTGCCGACCATATACATTTTTCATACAAACAAAAACAAGTATACGTATATATATATATATATGTTTCCGTTTGTTCAATGCACTGACGGCGTGACGGTGGGGCCTGTTGGATGTTAGTTTACGTATCAATATTTAAAAATTATTGGTATTTATCGTATTGTCTTTCAATTCTCTGTCACATTCTAAATTCTATAGATCTCTCTATCCGATTCAGTTTCTCTTGATCTTTCGCTCATGTTAACCTCCATCAACCTTTCCACTCGCATTTTCAAACAAAATAACCGATCTAGTGTTCTATGTCATTTATTGTGTGGCTCCTTTTTTGCTCTCTGGATCTTTCTTCCTCTTTCCCTTTCTCTTCTCTCATCCGATCAATTTCGAGAATCAATTGGCTTTTTGTGTCAGATGCGGCCAATTGAATTCTCGATGATGATTCATTCAAATGTGTTGCTGTCATCAACGCGCGGAAAATAAACTAGATCCGCACATATATACATATATATTTTAGCCGCATCCCCATTCTGAATGTAATTGTGTTTCTAGTGAAATGATTGATCACAACAACAAGCGCCCCTACATCGCTCGCCGCAGTGCCATTACATCTTCTATTTTCATTGAATGCCCCTCTTCAGTTTCGTTTTTTGCCTCGCCCCTCTTTGTTTCTGATTTTGATTATTCGTTCGATTTGTTTAACCACTTTTGTTGTGCACATGAAATTTTTCGAGAAAGAAAAATAAGACAAATTGAACTGAACAAAAAAAAAACGGAATTTTATTGTAATTTTGATGATGTTAGCGAATTTCAATCATATATTTGTCATATCGATCCGGAAATCTCTCTCTTTAGTACTAATAAATGAATATCCCTTAATTGTTGAAAGATATATCAAAACCACATACATAATCCGTTACATAATCATTCTTTCAAAGTTTCCTGCTTCCTCCATTCCACCCGCCATCTACGCCCTCTTCTCAATCATTTTGAACAAATCTATACTCTCTCTATCTTCGATTATTCGGAATCCATTGATTTTCATTTGCCTCTCCATTTTTCATTCTCTCTCTCTCTCTCTCTCTCTCTCTCTCTCGGTATGTGCAAGGATCCATGCTACGATTTTTATGTACTTATAATAGACTTCATACATAATAAAAAATATCCATTTTCACGAGCGGCTTCGTTAAGATATGCACGATCGCCATTTTTCTCACCACCGAAATGCCAAAACCATAACCCAATTGTGACGCTTCGATACATCGTCGATGGATGAAATTAACTTCCGAATTAATTGGAATGAGAAAACGAAGTAACGATAACGAAAGAAGAAACAAGAGAAACACAAGTGATTTCTCCAAACAGCCCCATTTTGTTGCCACCACCTGCATTTGCTTGTTAACTGTCAATGGGACGACCATAAAAGTCATTGTTGGAATTTAATAAAAAGAAACGTTTTTTAATATAGTTCAGTTGCATATGGCGGAAATGTTTGTAGGCGTAAGAATAAATGTTACAATTGGGTATTGAACGGAGAAGACGAACAAGAAGAAGGAAGAAAAAAACATGAATTTTTTTTGTAAAACATTGTTTTTCATTGAGAATGTTCGCAAAACTGAAAATCAAATGAATGGTCTTAACTGAATGCGGATGAAAATTGTCTTGAGGCATCATGCCAAAGAACATTATCTCTCATTCTCGCCCACTTTGCAAAAGTGATGAAGGTTAACCATTTTTTTTGTCTGTGTTGCAAAGGGGCGGTAGGGGAGGTATTTTTTTCGCCATTTCAATATCACAATTCAATTTGGTTTCACATGGAGCCAATATATTCTACACCCAGTGTGAATGCTCACCCCGAAAAATGTTGAAATCAATAAATTGTATGTTGTGTATATCGACGCGTTCTCTACACTCACTCCGCTCGATAGCATTACATAACCATATTTTGTACATAGATGAATGCAGTAGCCGTGTAGTAGTATATCGTCGACACTTGGCATTTTCGAATGAATGTTGTTCCATTTAGTGTTTGATGTTGAATGAAATAAAAAAAAAAAAACGAAATACAGAAACGAAAACTAACTATTGCATTTTCCGGCTGAAGTAATAAATTTAACTTAATCCATCAATTACAATCAGATATTGGTGATAAGCGTATGCTAAACACGTTTGGGTTCATATGCACACACACACATGAGAACTTTCACTCAAAATGCGAACGAACAACGGTGAACACTGGATATATATGTACACACAGTCAAAAGACACACACTCGTTCCGTAGATGTCCACATTCCGAAAGCTTCAGCTATCGATGTTTGAATTTGGAAAGGAAATTGAGAACCTTTCTGATTAAGTTACGGCTTAATCCATGCACATTGAAGAAAATCCAGCAATATTTCATAATTCACCTGAATGGTTCAATTTGAACATGCTTTTTACCCTGTATCCAAATTATAATAAAATGATGTAAATATTCCCGCACTTTTTGATGAACTCAAGAATGGATGCCGTAAGATTTAACGATTCGTTCCATTGCATTAAAAAGAAGTGAAGAAATGGTGTTACCACTTTAATCCAATGTATGATTGGTGATTTGCAGATGATGATCCGATTTCACGTTTGTCGCATAATTTTTTCGTTCGTCGCATTTCGATATCTCATTGAGAACAGACATAAGCATTTACGCAACTTTGTTTCTCATTAAAGCATTTAATATCAATCGCATTTTTTGACTCGACTAAATACTGCCTAGTGTTCAATTGTTCATACATTCTCTTCGCCTACCTTATCTCCTGATCTGTACCCATTTTTGCCATTTTCTATTTGTAAATACGAACCGAACCCTTTCCAATTTCAAGTCTAAGAGTTGGGCAAAACAAAACAAATGGAAACTCGAGAGTTTTTTTTCTCACTTGTAGTGATACTTAATATTCTTCGTCACAACAAACAAATGGAAAAGAGAAACTGTAACAGACTTGAATTCACCCATGCTCATATATATATATATATATATACACACACATATTCATTTTTACTGTTGAAAAATTTGCTACATTGTTACACACTTGTATCTATACTCATTGAACCAGAACTATTTCTTCATTCCAAAGAAAACAAAATCAGGAATGTCGTTCATATGTTTTTGTGTCTTCCAAGAAAGAAAGAAAAAAACAGACACAAAAAACCAACTCATACACTACACAACTAAAAACCACATAAAAACCGTAGCTAAACCGTACTCTGTTGAATAGCTAAATGGCTCTTTCATTTTAACATGCATACACACATCACAATGTGTTTTGTGTTTAAGTGCTTTTGGGTTTTTGTTGTATTGCTATTGTACAATTTGTTGTTCATTATTGCTCCGTAATTTGAAATTGCTGTAAAGTAGCATCTCAATAACAAAACCAAAGTCAAAGAACAACCCCACATAGACACTCGAATGACGTAAAAAGTGAGTTTCGACTCACTCTTTCCCATTCAAACTGTTCAGAGTGTGTCGATGACGGTGAGAGACGAATGAACCTTAGTTCATGAACTGAAAATGAACAGACAAACAGAGAAAAAAAAACCGAATAAAAAAACACACACACACATTCAACCAAAAGGGTAAATTTTTCTTTAGAAAATGTTTTAATGATTTCATTAAATTTTATTTCCATCAAAAGAAATGAGTAAGTGTAGAAAACAAATTTTTTTTTGGTTGTTGTTTTTGTTGTTTCAAAAATAAAAATTAAATGATATGAAAATGAGAAAAGCTTTCAGCATATTTAGCTTGAATTCAGCACGAATGAAAGAAAAAAACGAAAGAAAAATACAATACCGAGTTCGAAATAAAGAACGGGAAAATGTATGGAGAAAATGCAAAGAAAAGGCGGCGTATTTATATAATCTTCTTCGGATGAAATGCCGTTCGTTTTCGCCGTACATTTTTGTTTGTTATTTTTTTTTTGCTGTTGTTATGGCTTAAATGGCATGGCATGCCATTGCCATGGGATAACAGAAATATTCTCATAAAATTCGCATTCTAACGAGAAAAAAAAAGAATAACACATCCCATCTACGCAGGAAAATGATGAAAATAGTGGAAAAAATAAAATAAAATGGAAAAGAAGAAAATGAAGAAGAGAACCGAATGGGAGGAAAAAAAAAGAATTTAAATTGAATATAGATAGAAAAGCGCGCATCATTTGTTCGGCACTATTCATTCTAATTTTCTGTTGATTGCTATTGCGATCTTTCTAATTTTTCTGTAGACCGTTTTTATTTATGGATTACTCTATTAAACAATTATCTATGCCCTATCGAAATCATTAATCATGTTGTCTTCTTTTTTTCCCTTTCACTCTCTACTCGTTCTGCGTTCTTTCCCTCATTGCGTGCGTCTCTTCACCAACATTTGACGACGTGATGTGTGGTGTGTTCATGGTGCTGCTGGCATGATTGGCAAATATTTATACAGACAAAGCACCATCTGAAGCAACATTTCGGGGATCGGAGTTCCTATCGTATGACTTAGGCCAAACTGGAGGTGAACCAATTGTAAGCGCACAGGATGCCATATCATTATACTTTCGAACGAGACAACCAAATGGCCTATTATTCTATACAAGTAAGTGGATATCAAGAACAGAACAGGAACAAACACATATAGTGTATTTTACACGTAATTTATATATAGCGAAAGACAGAGGGACAGAGAATGATATAGACATAGAGGGTGTTGTGAATAAAAAGAGAAAAACGACGAGAGAAACAAACAACACCACCACCAACCACACATTCGACGGAAAACACACTGCAGAGAGTTGATAGTTTTCTCGTGCTAGATAGATATACAGCTATCCCATGTGAACTATATGTAAGCGGAAAATATCTTCAAAGTATTTTTTGCTATTGTTTCGGAGTTATTTTATGCTTCGGATGAATGTGAAAAGGATCGAAAACATGAAATGAGCGCACATTTTGTGTGTCATCCCAAATTAACAAGACAGCATTAGTATGGTATATGTACATACATGTTTTTCGTACATACATAAATTTTTCTTTTTCCGCTTCTTCGTTCTTCTTCATGAACACTCTCCTGTGTTGGAGATTATTTTATGCCCAAAAAACTCTCTTGCACAACTCTAAAAAGAAAGTGCTCATTTTGATTCTATTAAGCAAATTATTATTTATCATCATGTTGCAATTATGTCAAGTTTACTTTCCGACTTGGGAGGAAACCGAAAAGAAAATGCGAAAATGCGAAGCGTTGTCAACTGTATTCGAGCAAGAATAAGAACAGAGTAAGCACATCGTTCTCGTGTGTGTGTGCATTCATAATGAATGTTCTATTCACATTCAACTTAGCAACGACGATAACGACAACGGCGATAAAGGAGAAGACGTCACCTGTCGAAGTAAAAAAAAACACACACACATACATACACAACTCACATATATATACAAAACACTCGGTGATCCACCTGAGTCCATAAAATTTAATTAGAAAATAGATAAAACTGGCCTGGTTTACCATTGGATGCATATGCAAATAGAGAGTGACAGCGCACGAATCACTGAGTGAGAGTGAGAAATGGAGGTTGAGTGATCGAAACGAGGAGGAGAAGAAAAAAAACGCAGAAATATGATGTACTCATTTCATCAAAGCATTTATGACGTCACACTCGGATTAAAGCTCAGAGCATCGTTAACAAAGCGCTCAAATTGCAATCAATAAATTAACTGGCGCACACGACACGAGCGAGCGAGCGAAAGACGAAGCTTCGTGCTTTGTCTCGAATGATAATTATATCAAAAGCACTGCATCCAAATATATAATTAGCAATAAATGGAAATGAATACTATAAAACTGCATTTACGAGGCAAATCGGCGTACAAATCTATAATGACGACGTAACAACGTTTGTTTAATGGCTTCACTTCCATCATAGCACATATTCACACAATGGCTGTGTGTTGCCGTTATTATTATTTGAGACAACTAGACACACATACACACATATGAACACGGCCTGAATATTCTGTCTCTCCATCTTTCGCATATCCACATACCGATCGATTACCAACGCAAATCAATGATTTATTTTCGTACACTTTGAATTTAGTATTTAGTGTCACAGTGCATTAATTGAAAGGTATCAACGGTTAATTCAACATGACACGTATATCAAAATTGTTGCGTTTTGCATTGGAATGTGGCTTCGGGATTTTTTTTTATTTAATTTAATTGTAATATCGAAAATGACCGATTCCAAATGGAAATAATCACAAGGTGTTTCATATTTGAATAATAATCGGCTTTTGAAATGACTGTGTGCAAACAGTTAAAAAAAAAGCCATCACAAAAAATGTACGTTCCAATGAATTTAATATATGGCAACCATATATTTTTGCTATTCAAATTTTCCTTTCGCCATTTTGTGTATAAAAATGTATTAATTTCTCGCATTTACTTTCTCTACCCTTGCACCAAATCAATGTACAACAACAGGTCATGACACGGACTATTTGAATTTGGCACTTCGTGATGGCGGCGTATCTTTAACAATGGGTCTTGCAAATGGCAAACAGGAAATGCATATTAAACCGGCTCGAGTACGCTTTGATGATCATCAATGGCATAAAGTCACCGTTCATCGACGAATTCAAGAGGTTTGTACATGGGCTGACATGCCAACACAATTCACATTGAAATCATATTAGCATTGGATGCCAGTAGCTGATACAATCCGAATGAAAGAGAGGAAATGCTCAAATCCGTTAATTGATGGATACGGCAATAATTAAATTTGATTCTTCCTCAATGATTTAAGCCGATTTATTGAGACTTCCAATCTCACTCACTCACTCACTCATTCTCATCAATAAATCAATCTCAATCTAATCATAAATGATATTATCATGATGAAATAAAATGGGGTATTTTTCGCTTCTTTGTATTTAGATTTCTTCCATCACAAGCTTCTGTCGGGTGAGTAATATACGATATGCTATGTAACTGGAATATATTCGGTATACATTCATTCATAGGGGTATTGCAACGACCATAAAATATATGTATTTCATTAAGTTTATCAAGCTCTTTCCAAGTTTATGCATAGTGTCGAACTTTTGTTCAAGCTCTACCATCTAAATGTACAGTAAAATAATTTACGGGCACGACGTAAGATGGCGTTTTTTCTGGTCAAAAAAGTTGCAATATCCCTTTGTATTCATTTACATTGGACTGGGAAAATATTAATCAACCGATTGTCTGTTCTTCTTCTTTTTTCTTCGTTTGAATCTGTGTCTGTCTATGGAAACGCGCATCGAATGGAATAGTTGGTGGCCGTTGTGGACGACGTATATACAGACCATTCGCATATTGCCGGAAAGTTTACGATGTTGTCATCATCTCGAGTTTATGTCGGTGGTTCAGTGAATCCAAGAGCACTTCTGGGCGCCAGAGTTCATAATAACTTTGTCGGCTGTTTAAGAAAGGTAAAATAATATATATATGTATATATATATTGAAACACACCGCGGGGAAGCCATACCTATTGCATGCGTCTTAATTCATCGCAATATAATTTCGTTTTCTTCGTCTTTTCTTTTTATTCTTCTTCCATTTTTTTCTCCATTAGGTTGAATTCTCTGCCGATACACTGCGACTGAACTTAATCGACTTGGCCCGCACTGGTTCGAAATTAATTCAAGTTGCCGGAAGAGTGGCGTACAACTGTCCATCAGGTGATCCACAGGATCCAGTTACGTTTACGACAAGAGACTCCCACTTGGTAATAATCGTATACTTAGTTGTTAGTTTGTGTATATGTTTCGGCTCTTTTTTGTTGTTGTTGTTTTGTTTGTTTTTGTTGTTGTTTTGTCACTAGGCAAAAGTATTTTGCCCGTTCAAATAATGGCAACAAAACTCTTTCCATTTAGATATTACCGCCTTGGGAAACTGGCAAGCAAAGCATGATTTCGTTTAAATTTAGAACAAACGAACCCAACGGACTAATTTTGCTAACGACAGCAGCCAAATCGGGAAATGTAAGTTGAACTAGAGCGAGATAGAGTGAAATCACTGCAAACGAATACACTTATCAAATAAAAATTGTCACCAGACCTGTGAAAATACAACTTTTTATTTATTTTTTGTCGATTTGTTCGCCGTTTCTTTTTGTTTTCATTCTCTGTCTCTGTCTCTCCGTTTCTCTCTCTCTCTCTGTGTGTGTGTCTCTCCGTTTCTCTCTCTCTCCTTGTCGATGCAGTCGGATTTATTTGCTGTGGAATTGTTAAATGGTCACATTTATATTCACGTCGATCTTGGTTCCGGTGCTGTAAAAGTTCGTGCCTCGCGACGACGTGTTGATGATGGCGCTTGGCACGAATTGATGCTGCGTCGAACTGGTCGAGAATGCAAAGTATCAATTGATAGCCAATGGAATGATTTCCGCACTCCGGGCGATGCAACGCAATTTGAGCTCGATTCGCCCATTTATTTGGGCGGTCTTGGCTCATCCTACAACAGTGTTAATACACCGCCAGCTGTTTGGACAGCAACACTCAGGCAAGGTTTCATCGGTTGTCTACGAGATTTGATGCTCACCGGCAAACCCGTCGACATTGCTGCATTTGCTCGACAACAGGATTCAGGTGGGCTTTGACCGCAATTGGTTTTCCTTTTTTTTGTCTTCTTCTCCTCGTTCCGCATGGGAACACAATCATTCACGAATACGATTTTCAATGTATAGGTGCTGTGAAAGCTTCGTGCCATGTTCAGGCAAACCAATGCGGTGGTGCTGTACCGCCGTGTCTCAACAGTGGTGTCTGCAATGAAGGATGGAATCGACCGATTTGTGACTGTTCGGCCACCTCATTTACTGGACCAACATGTGGCAGAGAATCGGCAACATTGGCCTTCAACGGAAGTCAACACATGACCATTTCGGTTGGTGGCACCCATGGAACACGCACACAAACCGAAGAGCTAGTACTACGTTTCAAAACCACTCGACCGACTGGTTTGCTCCTTGTAACGAGTGCCGATTCAAATTCACCCGATCGCTTAGAAATTTCACTCGTTGCCGGACGAGTTCGTGCCAGTGTTCGGCTCGGTGATCGTGAAAAGGTCCGTGTCAATTGAATACAACTTGTCGAACGAACAAAAGGAAAAATTATTACTGAATAACTTTCTTCTTAATTCCTCCCCATCTCTTCTGATCGAAACAGAATCTTCTTGCTGGTCAAGGAGTGTTACACGATAACAATTGGCACACAATACGCTTTTCACGTAAGGCATCAAATCTACGACTACAAGTTGACGGGAATTCTCCCGTCAGGGGTACGTTATGTATGTATCAACAGCACTTTACTTGCCCTATTCGTGTCGTGACGTGTCGTTTTTAATTTTTGACATTTCATTAAAATACCAAAAGAAAAAAAAAAGAAAAACAAAAATGATAACGGAATGATTATCAAGCTCGTTCCGAACGAAAAAAAATGATCATGAAACATTTTTCGATTGTATCAAATCATTACTTTTGCTTTTAGTTTTTCGTTTGGTTAACTACATTTTTTCTTTTTCCGTTTTCATTTCGGTTACTAAACTATGGAAATCAAATCATTTTTTTTCTCTCTTTTCTCTACCAATCAAATTCTATTCTAATTGGTTACAACTCTAACTCTCTCTCTCTCTCCCTATGTGTTATTATTCAACCAAAAAAAAAACGAACATGTTTCTCTTCTGGATTATTATTTTCTTTTTTTTTAATTTTTCATTTCGGATTTTACGTTGCTTTTATACTCTCACTCGGTTTTCATCTTCTGTTCTATTTTCCAAAATTGCCAATATCTTCTTTTACGAATTGCTGTGACAAGTTTATTTTCCTCTTTTTCACTCGTTTTTCTTACTCTAATTTATGTATTGAAATTCCCTAAATCGACCATTTTTCTATGTTTTGCTACTTGATTGAGTTGTGTACAAAAAGAACCTACAACAACCATTTCATTCATTTTTGATTTTGTGAATATGGCCAGTTTTTTATCCATGGTTTTCCGGTTTAGGTTTATTTCCCCCTATCATTCTCTCTCTCTCTATCTATTTTTCTCGAAATTTTTTTATCTCTCTGTATGTTTTTTGGGATTGGAAATCATTTTTGATTTGTTTTCGATTTTGTTTGACATAATCAATTGGAATATCTAAAAATTCGATAATTTTCTTTCTACCCCATACATGAAATATATAATATTTCTGAGCGAGAAAAAACAATGTTTGTTTGTTGATTTCTGGTTTGGTTTTTCTTTAGCGTTTCTTGGAATTTGGGACCATCTTTTTTATTATAATTATTTATAGTTAGTTTATTACATAACAAAAACAATGAGAGATAATTTAACGAATCTCCAATCGAATTGCGAGCGTACAAAATGGGTTTTTTCGCATTGAAAAATGTGTTAACTGGATTACGCTCTTTGTTTATTGACAGAATGCTCATACTATTCGTTCTGAACTGCTTAAATTTGAACAACAAAAAAAATGTTGACCGTACTGGCCGGCAATATACCACACAATAATGAAACTTAACGATGAAAAAAAAGTGATTGTGTGTGCGTTCGAACGAGAGCATTCTAGCGAAAACCACACAATTTTTGTTTGAACGATTTAAAACGAAAACAAACCAATTTTGAAATCGCATAACATTCAATCAACAAATAAAATTGCATTCGTTAAATTTTTGTACATACAAAATATCATTATTATCGATGTGTTCGAATTGATTAACGGAAAACTAATATGACAATTTGAGGCGAATAAGGCATTTGATAACTCCATCAATATTTTGAAGTTGAATGATGATTGACATTGAACGAAAAAAAAAATACAATTAATTTGCATTGAATTGGTATCCTATTGTTGAAGCTTTGTATAACTATAACTGACTATTATAATGACCATCAATGATTTTTTATTCTGTTTTTCCCATTGTGGACTTTATCGTTTTGACCATCTATCCACATCCTTTTCCCACCCAGTGTTATCGCACCATTGCTACTTTTATCTTGGAATCACACCTATCCGATTGTTTTTCATTTCGAATGTTCTGTTTTCACACATCAAATGAAAAAAAAAGAATTATATATGATAGTTTTCGGTTCAGTTTCTGTTATTTTATTATATTCATCTAACTACACGAGCTGTTGCCATCGCACATGCACTACATTTTTTGATTTTTGTACTTTTTTCATGTTTTTTTTTCCTTCCAATTGGATTCTCGATTACAAATTTTGTTTTGCGTTGAATTTCTGTTGTGTAATTTTGTGACTGCACCAAAGTAAACGCAAGAACCACACGAACAACACAGAAAAAAAAAACAATCGTTAAAACTATTTAGATGAAACCAAGTTGAGTGTGTATGTGTACATGTGTGTACAATAAAACTTCGCACCAAACAACAGCACTTGATGAATTTTTTACTCGATCGGCTTTCGTAGCGTGTGTGCATTAGCAAAGTATATCACTATGTATAGATATATGTATTGATATTGATCGTTCTCGCACTGATTATCATCAATCAACGTGAACGCCTGTTATACATATATACATGTAATTTTGTTTATTCGATTTTCACACACACACACACACTCTGTCTCTTTGCCTCACACCATAAAACAGCAAACGCACAATTATTTTCACTATACTATGCAGATGAGTGGATGTTATATATTATTATAATGTTGCACACTTTTCGTAGACAAGTCAAAATTAACTTGAATATGTGTTCAGCTCAAATAGATAGTTGACACCGAAAATGGACGCAACGAAATTACTATCTTGGACGTGGACCCACTAACCGCCCACCCGACAAAAAAAAAGAACAAAAAAAAACTGTCACAGCTGTACTTAACAACCCGTTGCATTGATATTTTTGTTTAGCTTGAATGTCGTCAATACCATCAAATTGAACTGGTTTTGTTTTCAGCGGGCCGCGACAATGAAACAACAAATGAATTGTAATTTATGGCCACGCGAGTCTGATCTTGATCGGCTTGACTGTGAACGAGTGAGAAAGATAGAGAAGCAAATTTTTTAGATCAATTTAATGCACACCCCACAATTCACAGTTAGTTTAGTTAGCGGTAAAAAAAATTCTTTGCACGTCCATGCACCCGTTACTACCATTAAGAATTTAAATTGGAATCGAACCATTTGAAAATGAGGATGCGAGACAGCGAAAGTGAGACACGAATCATCATCGGCTTGGTTATCAATTGTTGATGAGAGCCACTGCCGTCGCTGTGGAATGAAGCATGATTTGTTTAACAGTGAAAATGATAATAATGAACACATTTGAGGCGTCCATGAACCAACAATTTGTGTCCACATCGGTCTCATTTCGAAAATTGAGTAGTCGCCCCGTGCCCCGTCCGCTCGACCAACTCAAAGTCATGCATTTTCCAAACAACGATATAATTGATTTGGATTCGCCGCTATACCAATCAAATCACCGTGGTTTATGTCACATTTTTCATCACAAACACCACCGATTTTCGTATTCATCCATCTTTATTTCGCACATACCATGTTCCACCACCGCATCGCGCAATCAAACATGATGATTTCACGTGCTCCTCTCAATCATACACACCAAACATAAACACCCACATACCATATCACAATCATTTTCATACGAGACACAATTTCTATTGCGATCAAATTCATTTTTGACACATATATTCATTACATTCCGTTGGATATCATTTATCATTTTATTTAGTTACCACAAATGTGTCTCCGGAATCAAATATACCTACCCACCCCATTGAACCAAACAAAACAAAAAACGATATGAAATCACGAGACTATGGTCATTCTCAAACGAACGATGTAATTTACAATTTACAAACGAACAACAAGCGAAGAGAAAAAAAACAAACGACAAAAAAAAACTGTAAAACCAATGAAAATGTCTTTACTTGTCTATTGTATTTGCTCTGTGTGTACAAATAAGTTTTATCTAGTCTAATCTATAAATACAATGTATTTGAAGTGTGTACAAAAAAAAAAGCCAGTCAAAATAATGATCAAATTATCAAATGCCTCATTCGTTGTAGTCGCCCAAGCTATTTATAATACAAAAATATATATCCAGAATATAGTTGAATTTTGTATATGTGAGAGAGATTTGCTAGCTTCTCTCCCCAAAAAAAAATATCATACGCTTTCGGTGGTTTTATTCTGATTTGTTTCGAAAAACCCAATGATGGACTGACAAAATCCATCAAATGGAATAAACTATATATTTTTCAATGTTTTCTAATTTATGATTTATCAGTTCCCAACAAGATATTTCGACTTTTGCTTTTCGATTTTTTTTTGTACAACGAAAAACAAATCATTTGATCAAATTTTCTTTTCATTTGTTGATTTCTACTCCTCAATAGTCTGACCCTATAATTTCTTTTGTTTTGTAATTATTTTCCCGTTTTCATTTTTCTCAGCGACATTTTCCGTTTCATTTTTTTTTTATTAAATCTCAAAAGTTTTCGTTTGATTTTTGATTTGGTTTTGCGTTTCATGTAATTGACAAAGCAAATTAGAAAACCATCTTCGACTTAAGAAAGCAAGCGTCTCTCTGCCTTTTTCATGTTGTGTGCAAAAATGTGCCAATCATTGAAGTGTGTCGCGCGGCGCGAGCGTAGGAAAGAAATTGTTGACATTCCTGGAAAGAAAATAAAAAAGTTTTGATTAGACAGCTGACACATTCAATTTCAAGTTGATTTGATGTGCATTTTGCAGTGTACATCACATCAACTCAACGCAACGCAGCTCAGTCTCACTTTGCAATATTTTGTTTATGTTCTTTTTTTTTCCACCGTGTTTCTTATTATCGAAGGTGTTTTTCTACTTTGCTATCGGAATTTATAACGAACAGAAATTTTTTTTTAAACTGAATTAACAAAGAAATTCAATGAATTAGAAATGATTCGAATGTCGAAAATTTTATTTAACGTGACACTCAAAAAACGATACGAACAAAGGATGAACGATGACGTTGAACGAACCCGAAACGAAAAAAAAAATTCACGAAATTTTATTCGAAAAAAAAGGAGGAAATAAAAACGATCGAACGAAATTCAACGAGCGTCAGGGCGCTATTTTATTGCACCAAAATTGTTTTGCCTGAAAAAAAAACTGATAATTTTTAATTTTTCTAAACAAAATTAATTTCCACAATGCGGAATAAAAATTAAATTTGTTTGTTAAATTGCGATTCGATGATGATGTTTTCTTTGGACCACCACCACTACCACCATCACCTTTGAAAAAGTCAATGTCACATTGAGAAAAAGTTGTTCAAGTTTAACGAATGTGGTTGCTGCCGACGACGACGACGACAACGATGACAAAATGGAAAATGACACTTGATCGCACACGCACACATTCAAGCGATTTTTCCAATTTAATGCTCATTTCTTTCGAATCAATCGGTCGGTCGGTTCACGCAAGAGAGGATTGGATGACGGGTTTCGGTGCGTTTGAAGTAAATATCATCAACGAACACATACAACCAATATCTGTAACTCAAAAGCAAAATTTAGTCTGATTGTTTACAATTGATTTATCCAATTTTGGTTTTCGTTTTCCTAATTTGATTTTCATTTTCGAAGTTCTTTGGTTGTTCTTTTATTTTTTGTCAAGAAACCACACACACATACACACCGATATATATATATTAATCTGGAGCAAAGTATATATATGTTATGATTTTTTGCCGTTTTTGTTTGAATCGAATTTTATTTTTAAACCACACACGTACACCAACAATAAAAAAAAATATTAAAATTAAATAGCTTATAGAATCCCGCCCTGTAAGATATGGTATTTTGTCTAGATTTCGAATACGGACTGTTGTTTGAACGAACATTTTGTTCTTTTTTTGTTTTTTGAATCCGTTGTTTTACGACGTTTTTGATTATTTATTTAGTTTGTTTTTGTTCCACTCTTGTTTTTGTATTGTCTCTATTGACGCTGGATCTGTCTATCCGTTGTTTTTGTTTATTTTTCGTTAAAATACTTGATCCCTCTGTATCCTTTTTCTTCTTACTCTGCCTACTATGCTAGAATGAAAATGCTTTTAAAAAAAAACTGCACGTGGCCGTCAATTGCAAAGCATTCGATTTTAATTCAAAATTCTCGCGGCAAACGTGACTTTTATGGTTCAATCTTTATTATTTCTGTAAGCGCATCATAGCGGCGTCATTCGTTTGCATTGTAATTGCGGCACTCTTTAGATGTAGACATTTTGACTTTTGAACTTTTATCTTTCTCTCTTTGGATAAAATTGCAACCGAATGCGTAGCATAGCATAAACTAGTGAATAGTTGTAGTGAATGTAGGAAATTAGCTTGTCACACACACAAATCTCACAGTTCTTTTTTCTTTAACAACAAAACTCACCAATTAGCATGATCAATGCAATGATCGTTTATGATCAAACAAACAAAACAATTCGTACAGCGAACATGTTTCACTTATTTCGTTTTGCATGCATTTCGATTTGATTCTCTTCAACAGCCGAAACCATTTTGGGGCGACACAGCACAATGGAAATTCGTTCAATTCATTTGGGCGGGATGTTCCATGCGGAAGAAGAAATCCAAATGACATCCACAATGGCAAACTTTGTTGGTCATATGCAAGGCTTTGTGTACAATGGAAATCGGTAGGATATTTCGACGATGGATAAAATCAATGGTTATTTCCTATAATTTGGCAATTAAATTGAATGTTTGACTATTTTATGAATTAGATACATTGACATAGTGAAAGCTCTTGGTTCTGAGCTGTCGGTACTTCCCTTAACCACGTTCAAGTTGAATGCACGCTTTGTGACGCCTACACTATCAACCCCGTACCATGCGGCAACATTCCGTTCCAAGCATTCGTATGTTGGTCTGGCTATGCTCAAGGCCTATTCCAATGTGTTCATCGATTTCCGATTCAAGACGCTCGAAGCCAATGGCCTATTGTTCTATAATGGTGGTCGTCGAAACGATTTCATTGCCATTGAATTGGTAAACGGTAAAGTTCATTACATTTTCGATTTGGGTGATGGACCTATCACTTTACGCGACACATCCCGCATACATATGAACGATAATCGATGGCATGTGGTTAGCATTCGACGACCCGGTCCCAAGACTCATACACTCATTGTTGATGACACAATCGAAGTGTATAATACACCTGGCAATAATATGCACATGGAATTGGAAGGAATTATGTATATTGGCGGCGTGTTCAAGGATATGTACACTAAACTACCTCCGGCAGTTGTGTCGCGAAATGGATTCGAAGGATGTTTGGCTTCAATTGACTTTGCCGATATTTCGCCAAGTCTAACGGAAGACGCCGTTGTACCCAGTTCACTTGTTGTCAACGGATGCGAAGGTCCTACGAAATGCAGTCAAAATGCTTGCGCCAATCGTGGCGTTTGCGTTCAACAGTGGAACGCTTATGCTTGCGAATGCGAAATGACCACTTATTCAGGACCCACTTGTTATGATGGTAAGCAAATTCGAAGGCAACCTTTTCTTTTTTAGATGTTGCTCAACACATAAGAAAACGAATAGAAAATTAGATGTCCATCAAGTAGTGGAGGAAACACCCAAGAATGGGTATCCTTAATAATGAATAACCACTAACCAATTTCCTTCGTTTAACAAATACAGAGTCAGTTGCCTATGAATTCGGTTCAAACAAAGGAATGATCCAGTATATGTATCCAGCTGGAAAGCAACCAGATACTGAGGAAGATTCGATTGCGCTCGGATTCATCACCACCAAATCCGATGCTGTCTTGTTGAGAGTTGAAAGTGCAACAACCCAAGATTACATGGAACTGGAAATTGTAATTATATCCATTGATTTGCATATTGAGCTTTTGCAACAAATTTTCACATTTCACAGGTTGAAGGGAACATCTTCATGGTGTACAATATTGGATCGCATGATCTGCCACTCGGTGAAATCGGTACTAAAGTCAATGACAACATTTATCACATTGTACGATTCCAACGATTCGGTGGCAATGCAACGCTTCAGCTTGATGATTACAATGTTCAAACTGTACACCCTCAAGGTAACCACATCCTCTTATCCACACTTTTTTTTCAAGCTTATTTAACCGAATTTCTTTCCCCAAAAAAAAAAAAAAAAAACAGGTCATCAGTCGACGGTGTTCAATTCGATGGCAAATATCCAGGTGGGCGGTAAAATTGCACGAAACGGTCGTTTCCGTATCGAACGGCCGTTTGTTGGTGTGGTCTCTGGTCTATCAGTAAATCGATTGCGTGTGCTAGATTTGGCAGCTGAACGAGATCCACATGTGACCGTTCGCGGAGACGTACAATTGGTAACTGGAGTATTAGATAGAACTGATCTAACAAGAATGCAGCAGGTTAGGAATTTTCAGCGAACCTACAACATTCAAACGATTTTTCTATATTTCTGTTTTGTTGATGTGTTGCGAAACGGCATCGCGCCCCTCCACCCAAACAGAAAACAAAACACAAGCAAACGAAATGCTGCCCTCTCAGATTAAGCTTAATGCCTATCCATGTATAGCACAGTAACATTGTATGTGTTTTGGCCGATTTCGTTGCCATTTCGTTTTGCTTGAAAGAACCAACAACAATTTTTTCCTTTAATAAATTTATTCCGTACAATTCACTCTCATCGTCAAAAAAAAAAAATTCCAGACATTTTTCACACAATTTTTCATTTTTTCATGGAATTTCGCATCACCAAACTGATGTGATCATATTTCCATTCCATTGGCCATTTGGCCAATCAAAGTTGACCAAATACCGTTTTAAATTCATATTTGTATTGTCGTTATGTTTGACACTAACTTAACATTTTCACTCTATCTCGATTCCTCTGTCTCTATCCATTCGAATTTTGTAACATGTAATGCTCATGTGTATATATGAATCAATCGAACTCTTTCTATTCACCAACAAATACTGTTTTTTTTTCTGTAAATAATAAGGGTTTTGCATGATAATCATGACAATCATCAAGTGAGCATAGTTGTTATCATCTGTTGGACGAAACATGAACAAATTGACCGTCATTTTTTATTGTCGTCGCGATATGATGATAACAAACAATAATTCCTATTTCTAAAAAAAAAACATAACATTGAAATGTTAACAAAAAAAAGAACCAGCTGCAATCCGAGCAAGTGTCAGTAAAATAGACGTATTTATTATGTGTGTGTATTTTTGTTTATTAAATGTTTATATTCCAATTTTCGTTTGATAACCCTTTATACACAAGAAAAACAGTTGAATTTTTTTTTTGCATGATACACAGTAAGCGGGATGGTGTGAAAATGGCTGGCGCATAAATTTATGATTTCCATTTTTGCCCATCATCAGTCTGCTGACACAGAAATACAACATTCAAGAACAAAACGAAAAAAATTACCATCAAACACACAAACACACACAAACACAAAAAAAAATATGGCAGACAAACATTTTCTTTTGATTCATATCGATTTTGTTTAAAGTCATTCAATATCACCCAAACACACCATTTAATCCCTGGCCTTTCACACTCTTTAGCATTGCCATGAACTCTTCAATTCTATATCATTTTTTTCTCTCTGTTTCTCTCTTGGTCGAATTAAAAATGCATGATTTTTATTTTGGATTTTACTTCAACGATTTTTTTCTGTTTCGTTCTTCTGATTTATTAAATGCCATCACCCCTTTTTCTCTCTTGTCAGTTTGACATTGCACGCAAACACATGGTTATACTTTACATAGATTAGATTTGAAACAAAAAATTATTGTTCAAATCAAGTGAATGTGAGTTTTGATGAATGGGATTTTGTTCTCGTTTTTTTTCTTCTACTCGCTCGGTTTTTAGACTCCAGCCAGCAATTATCCAGGTGTGGTTGATGACCTCATTTTTTCGGGAGCGGGTTCGGGTTGTCGTGGTGACGATGAGGACGAGTGTACGCCACCGTTTGAATCAGGCAGCGGCGACGATTTAATTACTCCCGTTTATGTACCACCAACGAAACAACCGACAACACCGCACAAGAGCGAAGAGACCAGTGCAAAAGAGGCATGCGACGATGAAGATTGTATTCATGGTTCGGGTGACTCTGGCAGTGTTACCGAATCATTTACATCGACTACATCTAAAGGCACAGGTAAAACCGTGGCTCTGTTTTTTTGAGCATGAAAAAAGTTTTGATAAAATAATCGAATAATATTAACAATTTGAATGATATCTTAGATCGCACATCATCAACGGCATCGGAAACAACGAAAACATTCGAAGATTTGAGTACAACAAATCGTGATACAAATACATTTGGTACAACATCGGAAATCGGAACCACAAACGTTGGCACAAGCACATCGGTCAGTTCAACACAAAGCCAATCAACACCGGCCGTTACACGACCCGAAACTACATGGTCATCATCGACCAGTCACATGACCACCGTACCAATTCCAGAGACAACGCATTATCATAAACCAAGCACAACTGAAATGGATAACAATATTGATCACACGAGAGAAGATTATCGGTAATGATTGAGCGAAAATGAATTTGATTTACTTTTTGTCTATTCAATGAACTAACTGCTTTGCTTTTGGAATTTATAGTGAACGGCACGAGGACAAGCCAGCGTGGACACCAAATCAATACGATAGCAAAACTACGGAATCACAGTACGAACGTGGCGAGCACGATATTGAATCGGAAGTAGAACCAGAACCACCATTTTATCCACAGCCACCGCCAACCCCATACAATCACGGTGGTCGTCCAAAAATCAATCGTGGTGGTCGCATTAGTTCTGAAGCGGAAGAACGAACAGCAATGATAATCGGCATTGTAGCGGGCGCATTGATTGCCGTTGTGCTGGTCATATTGCTCTTGATTTGGTTACGATCAAATGGAGATAGAAACTACAAAGCCGACCCAGACAAGCGCGCTTCCTACGGCCAGGGAGCGAATGCTGCATTACTTGGCAATAATTCATGTACAAACGGAGCAAGGCATCCGATAAATGGATCGAATGTGCCATTGAATGGTTCGTTACGTTTAAATGGTAGCGATAAAGCACAAGTGCCAGGTTTGGTTCCACAAAAACCAAAGAAACGAGATTCAAAAGATATCAAAGAATGGTATGTGTAAAATGGTTTCGAATGACAAAACAAAATAAACAAAAAACTAAACGAAGAATAAAAAAAAACAGCACTGCAACAGCAAAGAAAACAAAAATTTTACGAATTTCATATAGGATCATAACAAAAAAAAAACAAAAGAAAAATCAGTTCCCAATAGAAAACGTGGACAGTTATTTGCAAATAGCTGCCAAACAAAAAATATACAGAAAAAAAGAGAATTAAGTAAGTTTTCCATTGGTCCATTGTCATAAAATCTGTTTAGTTTAACCAAAAACCAAAAGAAAAATCTCCTCCAACAATTGTCCAATTGACAATTTGAGCTTTATTCACTTAAAATGAACTGAAACACATGTAAAACGAATATTTTAACCATTTGAAGTCAAAAAAAATTAATTAAGAAAAAAATGGTGAAACTTCAAGCGAATAATTGTTATGATGATTCAAAAGTTAGAGAAAAAGAGAAGGTGCTAAATGTTTAAAAAAAATGATAAGCAACAACAACCCGAAAAAAATTGATGAAAATGAATGATGTTGTTATGGTAACATGACGACGAAAAACGAAATGAACGTACGTTAGATTTATGTAAGGCATACGCAAACACAGCACATACACACATCAAATAATATCCAGCAGAGAAAATGCCATGTATAACCAACAACCCTCCCCAAAATCAAAAAAAAAACAAAAACTTTTCGTTGATTTTTGTTTGGTCTAATGGACGGAAATATAAGAATTTTTTTTTAGTGTGTAGATATATTTGTAAAAAAAACTGAAATCTAATCGATGAAGTAGTGACTTAAACGGTACACTTGTAATACACAGAGAGAGACACACACATACGTCAGCTGTATATGTATTTGAAATGAAAACGCTAAAATGAATGATGAATATTCAGAAATTTAGTTGATCCCATGAACCTCCCCCCAATTTGTGCGGTTTGATTTAAGTTTCACGCTATTCTGCTCCTCTTCGAAGAGGAACAACATATGTATCATGTTAGTCGTTTATTTTTTATTTTCCCAATTTCCGTTCCATCAACGTCTCAAGCATTATGGCAAAATGAAAGCGCATCTCCTTTATGTGTACAACTAAAAAAAAAATAAAAAAAAATAAAATCAATCAGTGTGTATAATTGAACATAAAACCAAAACATTTAAGAAGACAACATTAGTGAAAAGATCCTAGCGTAAATTGTTTAGTTAAAAATAACAAACCCAATACCGGTTAAGATTTATTTAAGAAGAAAAAATAATGGAAGAAACAGAAAATCACCACAAAAAATTGCAACAATGGAAAAAAAAAGACGAATAGGATAACAAGGATTGTAGGCAACAACAAACAAATAACGGCAATTGTGCACTCATGATGCAAATGCGCACAATTGTTTGCGTGAAATGAGACACAACAATCTCGCAAGCTAACTGAACCAAATAACTCGACTCAGTTTCAAATTTTTCATCTATGTATCTCTTTCAAATCAACCTCGCGAAAATACTTCAAAATACGTTATTTAAAAAGAAAACACACGAAAAACAACATACACACACAAACATTTTCACGCTATTTAAATATTATTCTCTCTCTCTCTCTCTCTCTCTTCATATGTGCACAATTTTCAAACTGCAACAACAAATCCACTTCATTCGGAATCTAACAATCAGAACGTTATTAATACGTACATGACTTTTAAAATCTGAATCAAAATCAAAAATGAATACGAATCTCACCCTCTCTAAACCAATTGTATTGAATTCATTGTCTTTTATTCAAGAATAATGAAACAAAAAACACAAAAAACCTCCCACACAAACCACGAATCGAATTGCACCCAATAAATTTTAAATCGAGTTCCGTATTGATGCAAATTTTTAATCAACTGTTTCTATTTCAAATTTAAAAAAAAGGAAACAAACAACGTTTCTCTCTTTTTCAAATGCACACACACATACTCACACCCACATTTTAACACAACTAAACGTTCGAACGAGTTAAATGGACTGTTGGATAATTGGTTTATTTACAATTTACATTTGACATATTCGTGTGTTTTTGTTTGTCCACTTTTGTTCTTCATCATTTGGAAAAACACAAATCGAGTTACAGATTGTTGTGCAATGAAATGTGCTTGATGATGGAAAGAAGCGCGAGAGGATTTAAAAATGAAATGTTGAACGTATTTTGAAGCCGCATTTGAGAAAGAAAACAAAAATCGAGAAGAATAAATAAAAAGAAAAACAAGTAGAAAAAAGACGAAAGAAAGAGACAATATCAGTAGTAATATTAATTTACTCCTAGAAATGCTCAAAACCAAAATTTTTAGTAGTGAAACCAAAGAATAAAAAGAAACACACACGAACACACATACGAGAGAAAGAGCAGGACAAATCCCCGAATATTTTAAAATAAAATATGTAATGCAACGCGTCGATAAAGTGCTTTTTGCTAATTTTAGTTTTGGTTTTATTTGTTAGTTTTTGTTACCATGTTCATCATTGATCTCATCCCTCATATACATGCGCCCGCTTGCTTTTTTAACCACATTCGTTTTTGTGTCACTCGCACCAGTTTGGGTGTGCAGCGATTCAAATCCATATTGCATTCAAGTCGACATTCATCAACGCCAAACATGCAGATAACAACAACAAAACACCATCACAAAAAAACGCCATGTTCTTTTTTACCAAAATAAAAAGCATTTAGTTGTGAGCTAATTAGAGCAAATCATCCAGTGAACTTTTTTTTTGTATTGTTTCGTTTAGTTCTAGGGCATACACAGGAAACGAACTTCAAATGTAGTGTAATTCAAAAAGATGAAGAAGAAAAAAAAAATTGTAAATTTAAACATATCACAACACGGAATACAGAGATTGCACCAACCATTTTGATAGATTTCAAAGTTTTACCTCATCTTACTTTCGATGCAATATTTATTTTTAAAAAAAACACACACACACACAGAGAGAGAACAAAAACCAAAGCTTTTTCCATGTTTTTCTCCCAACAAGAGAAGAACAACAATTTTGAAATCAAAGCATTTTAACACGATGACAACCAAACGAGTGAAGACGCTATTTAGCGCGATATTAACTAATATTTCCTCCGCTTTTTTCCCCAACAACAATAACACACAGATACATTTTTCAATCGAACCTTTTAAATTGAGATAACAAGCGAATTATTTTCGAGAGACTTTTTATATCGTCTTTTCCCTTCAAATCTTAGACACAGTATTCAACACATCAAACCACAATGAATTGTGAACGAAATAGATTAGTGAATAGTTAGTGCAGCAGCAGCAGACAAAAGAAACCAAAAAAAAAAAATCTAAAAGTGATCAACGATATATAGCTAATGAATGGACACAATCTGATTTCGTTTTTTTTTTTTTTTTTCGGCTCAAAATTTATCACTTTCTTTTCTTATACTCTGACGATTTTGCTCTCACTCTAAGAGTTGTGGACTCGCTATTTTGTTTGTGTATATTTTCCAATCGGTCCATTGGTTTTTTAAAATAAAACTTCTCTAATTTCCAATTCTAAAACAGAACTAAAAGAAAACGATGAAAACAAAATTATGTCAACACATCTAAATCAAGAAGAATATCGATTTTATTCAATTCGGTTTTTAAAGAAAAATCTTGTTCCATATCAATTTTACGTATACTTTATAGAATATGTTTAAAAATCAAGATAAATATGCAGTGTGTTCAGTATTGAGACGAGTAAAACGCAACGTCGACTGTGGTGGTGCGACTTGTATTGAGGCTGAGAGATGATTTGATGAGAAAATGTGAACGATCAACAGTTTGATGACCATTTTCCATTGATATGCACATTTCAATGACATGCAAATCAAATTGAAAATATGAACACACACACACACACACACACCAAATCGTTTCGTCCAAGGAAAAAAAATCCAAATTGATAAAAATGAAGAGAAACGAAAAGAAGAAAAAAAAATGGCACAACACTAATGCTATCATGTACGGGAACGATGTGAAGAGCCACATTTAATCTATTATATCAATTACAAAAATTCATATATTATGATATTAAACGCTAAAAAAAAACAAAAACAATTGATACAATCCATTCACTTTACACTCACTCACTTCAACGACACGCGTGTAATGCGAAGAATATTTAGCCGTACAGAAAAACAAAACAGTATATAAGTCTATTGCAAACCTAATTGAAAGAGAGATATTGATTTAGAGAAAAATTGATTGATTTATTAGAGAGAAATGAACAAGAAGACGATGAATTGAAGAAGAAAAAAAAGCATCAAGAACAAGAAAAACTATGTAAAACTGCACCAAAAAATCATATATATACATTTAAGGGATAGTAAATTTTGTTTGGACTGATATTTTATTTATAAATAAATGAGAAAAAAAAATTAATTTACCACAAAAAAAAACATTAAAGAATGCTGATAGAAACGACCCAGCGCGGACAATTTCTTCAGAACAAAAATGAAAGTTCAACTTTATTGGCGCAAAAAAGGAAACAAAAAAAAAACTTTATGAAAAAGTTAAACATAATCACACGCAACACACATTTAGTACTTGTAACAGTTATACAATTAATTTAAAAAAAAACACAATGTTGGACAAATTAAACACGAAAACCAAATCGGATGAGAAAGAATGAAGAGTGTAAAATGTTATCTAGGATATAAAATTAATTATTAAATGAAACAAAACAAAAAATGAAGAATGTAAACAAAAATATACGCGTACAAAAAAAACACAATCGGATCGAATCAAAAAAATGAAAGAAAATGAGATTTAATTAGGATAATTCCACGTGGTGAGAAAGACCCTTCCCCAAAAAAAAAATCTTATAACTTATGTACACTCGATACATGCTAAATGAAAAATGGATTCATTAATGGATAGTCCGATTTCCCTGCTACATAGACACCCAGACACATGCAAACACGAAACATCCAATAAATGATAACGTTTAAATGAATTAAATTAAGAAAAACAAAAAAAAAGACAAACAAACAAATGGTTATTTATGCGTATTAATTCAATGTTTTTGTTTTGACCATTAAACTGAATGTTAAATTTAAAAAAAAATTGTACTCATAAGACATCGCTCTATCTCTCACATCGACACACACACACATACAAATACATGAAAAACAACAACAACAACAACACACATGAAAGAATATTATATATCTTGTCGGTGCGATCGATTCTCCATCATTCGTTGAAATAAGAGTGTTGAATTATTTTTCTCCTTTCTATCTATATTTCTATCCCTATCATCTTTTCTCCTTCTCTCTGTTATGAAACCATGCAATTGTTACTTCGTTCCATTGAGAAAAATGAAAAACACGAAAATATTGAACAACAACCAAAAAAAAAATGACATAAAATAATAATTTTAATAAAACTCAAAATGCATATTCAGAATGAAACGATGATACTGCTACTGCGCGAACAACACATACCAGAACAGAAAACAGAAAACTCTAGGGCAAATGAATGTTATGTTATATTAAAGTAAAGAAAAATAAAGAAACGGCAAACCGCATATTAATATGAGAAATGGAACACAATGAGACAAAACACAAAGTAAAAATAGTTGAACTGAAAAGTGAACAATTTAAATTCGAATGACAAAACAAACAAAAAATAATATGAACAATGATCAGTCATCATAGACTTTTTTTGGGAATTTATCCATAATCTTTTTATTTAAAAAATTAAATTTCAAGAAAAATAATTCAAATAAAAGTCGAATAAGCCATACAACAAATTGAAATTTGATTTGTGTTTTATTCGAGAGATTTTTTTTTGTTTCCCGTTCGGTTTTATTGTGCTTGAAATGAATAATTTCGATAAGATTTCAGCAAAGCTATTTACGTTACTGGATTCGTCGTCTTAATCATTTTCGAAACATCTGGCCGATAAAATGGGTAAAGTTTAATGTCCGGTTCAATGTTATTGCTCAACAGCATATGGAAATAGCGCGTGATTCGGTTCAATAATGAGCAAAATATATCACATAAATTTGAAAATTTACTGGAGAATAAGAAATATTGGTTTTTTTCTATAGAACAGTTTTCGTCGCAAACTTTCTTTGGCAAAATTCCATGGCATTATCATAAATACGGTAATTTATTACTTCAAGCTTATATCGTCAAATAACAACACACATTCAACTCAACTTCTACTAAATGTCGCTTGAACAATCTATCGGAAGGCAGGAAAATACGAAAAAGGTCAGAATAAGATTCAACGAAAGCGGAACATACATTTCATCACCATAATAGACATAAAATATAGTCCAAATGCAATGAACACCATCATCTCATACTATTTTAATTTACTAGCTTTGTTCGGTAGAGAAAAAATTTCCTAAAAATTAAAATCAAATACATTTTCGCATAGAAAAGGCAGCCGATTAATAAACGAGTCACATTCTGTTATAAAAAATTGAAAAAAATAGCGACAAGGGCAGGATTCGAACCTGCGCGCGGAGACCGCAATGGATCACTGCTTCGGCTGTTATACACAACATTAGCAGTCCATCGCCTTAACCACTCGGCCACCTTGTCATATGTCTATTCTACGAGGTTTCGTCTACTGTACCTTGTTACACTCGCTCGACGCGTCAACGAGAACACACAAAACACAGAGCGAACGCAGAGCAGCGTCCGAGAGATACGAGGTGCTTACATTCATCGCCGCTATAACGATGTGGCCGGTCATACCAAATTAACTCTTTCGCTGTATTTTTGATTTTCACCTGATTTGTTGCTTTTGATTCCGATACTTTTGAGAGAATGTTTCGGATAAAATATTTCAAAAGTATTTATTCAAAAAAAAAACTCTAAAGCAATAGGAAACAGACATATTGGGTCTATTCTTTTCATCCAATCTACGATGAAACAGCTCATGATAAACAATAATCTAGAACATCGCATTCACATACATTTTACCACTCAATCAGAGTCAATCAGACCACATTGGACCACCTCTCATATTCGGTGACAACATTCTAGAAATTCATCTTCAATTTGCCTATACGAGTGTACAGAGAATTTGAATCCATGTAGTCGCTGCACAAGTGTTTCAAATCTTTGTTATGCGATTCAAACAAAATAAAATGTTCTACGTCATCTCATTCATCATCGACAGCACACCAGACGCGAATTGAGCAACAGACAAACAATCACACAGAATCAAAATCGTACATATTTACAATTGAATTCATTTCAATGAATCTCCCATACGAAACTCAGACAGGCAGGAGAAAAATTTCAAAGCGAACGACTGGAGGATGGTTGAGGATAATATTCGTGTGCATTAGATAAGTGAGTCAAAATGTGAACTCACTCACGACGTTCCGCTGTTTCGTATCGTATCGTTTCGTTTTCGTTTTCGTTACGAACGTATATTTACAAACAACGTCATTCGTGTTGACATTGAAACTGCTGTCAAAATAGAAAATCGCTCAAACCACCACAACACTTCACTGCTTTTGTTCTCAAACAACAAAATGATTGTGTTTCATCGTTCAAATGCAATCGCAAATAGACATTAAATTTTTCACTCTCGTTTTTACTGATAGTTTAAGCTAAACTAAAAATAAGTCCAAAAACAAGTTATTAACCAGCTGGTAGTAACAACTGTGGAGAAATGGAGGGAGAACGAGTTAGCGTAAATTTTACATGTCAAAGATGTTTGCAACCTGTGATTCTGGACGATTCCTTCACGAATATGGATGATTATGCGAGAGCTGAGCTAGCCCGTAAGTACACCACCACAATTCAATTGTATTTATTACGATACCGATAGAATATCGAATGAAACTCCCTTGTAATGTGTCTGATTTGTTTTGTTTTAGTGCCAATCTACGCAAACGCTGATGTCGAAATCGATTCACAGGACACGAGCATGGATCATTTGGTGCCTCCATTTCGATTGACAGACTCGGGAACGGGAACGAATGGCTTCATGCTCATATCCGATGGCAAAGAGAATCAAAGTCTTGGAACGACACTCAAGGCTCGTGCAAATCTGTTCGATTTTCTGTCGTCCAACTCGGAGATAGATCATCCGCTGTGCGATGAGTGCACAGACACTCTGCTCGAGCTGATGGAACATCAATTGAAGCTGGCCGAAAACGAGTGGAACGACTACAACAATTACCTACAGAAGCTCGAGCAAACCGATGACACACCCAACATTGAGCAGCTCGAGAAGGAGCTCAGCGATTTGGAAATGGAAGAGAAGCGTTTGATTGACGAGCTGGCGAAGCTGAAGCGCGAAGAGGATTCGGTGAAGGAAACAATCAAGACACAGGAAGACGAAAAGGAGCGTCTCAACGTCGATGAGGAAAAGTATCGCAAAGAGTACTCGAAGTATCGACGCGATTTGATGCTCTCGGAAGACGAGTTTCACAGTCTGGAATGCCAGATATCGTATGCGAATGACGAATTGGAGAAGCTGAAGCGAACCAACGTGTTCAATATGACGTTTCACATTTGGCACTCGGGCCACTTTGGCACAATCAACACATTCCGATTGGGTCGCCTGCCATCGGCGCCGGTCGATTGGTCTGAGATAAATGCAGCTTGGGGACAAACGGCTCTATTGCTGTCGGCGCTGGCGCGCAAAGTGAATCTGAACTTCGAACGATATCGATTGGTACCGTACGGTAATCATTCGTACATCGAGGTGCTGGAAAACGGAAAAGAGCTGCCACTCTACGGAACGGGTGGCTTTCGATTTTTCTGGGACACGAAATTCGATGCGGCTATGGTGGCGTTCCTAGACTGTTTAGCACAATTCAAAGAGGAAGTGGAAAAGGGCGACAAAGACTTTTGCCTTCCGTATCGCATCGACAAAGGAAAAATTGAAGACTCAGCAACCGGTAGTTCCTATTCGATCAAGTAAGAACAACGCATTTTATTGTATCAACCATTCTCTTTGCTATCCGTCTTAACACAATCGATTCGATCTATTTGCAGAATTCAATTCAATTCAGAAGAGCAGTGGACAAAGGCGCTAAAGTTTCTCTTGACGAATTTGAAGTGGGGCCTCGCATGGGTTTCATCGCAGTTCACCGACGAACCAATGACTCTGCCCGATCTAAACGAAAGTGCTGTGTCAGCATCTAATATTTAATAGATTTAATTTACATTTTTTTAAGTTCCTCGTATCCTAAGCCAAATAAAAAACCCTTGTTAATTTATATGAATCATATGTTTTTTGCAACTTTCATTGAGCAATTCAAATTGAGTGAAATATTGAGCAACTTTTGCTCATTTTTCCACTCACTTTTACAACAGTGCGTAGCTTCTGTCATCGTGATTGTTTTTATTTCAGTTTTGCTGGTAAACAGATCAAAATGTGTGCTGCATATGATCCAGTGAAGAGTACGGTTTATGTATCGAATATATCGTTTTCTTTGACTAACAACGATCTACATAAAATATTTGACAAATATGGGAAAATCGTCAAGTACGTATTCAAAAATTCATTTCGTTGATTTACAAGAAAATTTCAATTGTTGGTTTCACATTTTTAGGGTAACGATATTAAAGAATGAACAGCGTCAAAGCCGAGGAGTTGCGTTTGTTCAATTTAAAAATGTCTCTGATGCCGAATCGTGTCTTGAGCTGAACAATACACAGGTAAAACCAAATGCAATTGAAATTAGTTTGATGGTGATAAATTGTTTCCTTTCATCTCCCAGATGTTTGGTCGCACACTAAAAGTTAGTATAGCGAATGATAATGGTCGAAGTGCAGAATTTGATGCCAAGCGTACATATGCTGACAAGCAGCGCTGTTATGAATGCGGCCAAGAAGGTCATTTAAGTTATAAGTGCCCAAGTAATGTGCTTGGAATTCGGGAGCCTCCACAGAAAAAGAGCAGCAAGAAAAATAAGCGCACGGATTCCACGAGTGCTGTTCCATTTAGTAGTAGTAATGACTTCGATTCCACACACAACGAGGTTGTAAATTATTCATTTTTGTATTCAATCTACAACATTATTGATCAGTTGCAACATTAACATCGTGTTTCCTTTCAGGAGTCTAAGGTCGACTGTATGGATGCATCAGCGCAGAAAAAGAAAAAAATTAAACAAAGCAAATACTTCAGTGATGATGAAGAAGAACACAGCGAATGAACAGAGCAGTTTGACTGTGACAGAAAAATTGTTTGAAATGAGATTATACTCTCTGTGTGCATTCACTTTCAGAACACAGAAATCAATTGTTTTTGAATAATGCTTTCATTAAGTTGTGTACGTTGGAAACATGTCAATGAAATTTTTCATAAAAACATATGATCTCATTTGTCGAAATTATTTGGACAGTTTTAAGTGATGATGTGCTCATACTTTAAAGCAATACATTAAATTATGATTTCATAAACCGAACTGGCAACGAATTCCAATATAACTAAAAATATTGCGAATATCTTTTCTTCAATACTAGTATATTTATGTTTTGAACAGTAAGAATATACAAAATGTAAATTAAATCTATTAAATATTAGATGCTGACACAGCACTTTCGTTTAGATCGGGCAGAGTCATTGGTTCGTCGGTGAACTGCGATGAAACCCATGCGAGGCCCCACTTCAAATTCGTCAAGAGAAACTTTAGCGCCTTTGTCCACTGCTCTTCTGAATTGAATTGAATTCTGCAAATAGATCGAATCGATTGTGTTAAGACGGATAGCAAAGAGAATGGTTGATACAATAAAATGCGTTGTTCTTACTTGATCGAATAGGAACTACCGGTTGCTGAGTCTTCAATTTTTCCTTTGTCGATGCGATACGGAAGGCAAAAGTCTTTGTCGCCCTTTTCCACTTCCTCTTTGAATTGTGCTAAACAGTCTAGGAACGCCACCATAGCCGCATCGAATTTCGTGTCCCAGAAAAATCGAAAGCCACCCGTTCCGTAGAGTGGCAGCTCTTTTCCGTTTTCCAGCACCTCGATGTACGAATGATTACCGTACGGTACCAATCGATATCGTTCGAAGTTCAGATTCACTTTGCGCGCCAGCGCCGACAGCAATAGAGCCGTTTGTCCCCAAGCTGCATTTATCTCAGACCAATCGACCGGCGCCGATGGCAGGCGACCCAATCGGAATGTGTTGATTGTGCCAAAGTGGCCCGAGTGCCAAATGTGAAACGTCATATTGAACACGTTGGTTCGCTTCAGCTTCTCCAATTCGTCATTCGCATACGATATCTGGCATTCCAGACTGTGAAACTCGTCTTCCGAGAGCATCAAATCGCGTCGATACTTCGAGTACTCTTTGCGATACTTTTCCTCATCGACGTTGAGACGCTCCTTTTCGTCTTCCTGTGTCTTGATTGTTTCCTTCACCGAATCCTCTTCGCGCTTCAGCTTCGCCAGCTCGTCAATCAAACGCTTCTCTTCCATTTCCAAATCGCTGAGCTCCTTCTCGAGCTGCTCAATGTTGGGTGTGTCATCGGTTTGCTCGAGCTTCTGTAGGTAATTGTTGTAGTCGTTCCACTCGTTTTCGGCCAGCTTCAATTGATGTTCCATCAGCTCGAGCAGAGTGTCTGTGCACTCATCGCACAGCGGATGATCTATCTCCGAGTTGGACGACAGAAAATCGAACAGATTTGCACGAGCCTTGAGTGTCGTTCCAAGACTTTGATTCTCTTTGCCATCGGATATGAGCATGAAGCCATTCGTTCCCGTTCCCGAGTCTGTCAATCGAAATGGAGGCACCAAATGATCCATGCTCGTGTCCTGTGAATCGATTTCGACATCAGCGTTTGCGTAGATTGGCACTAAAACAAAACAAATCAGACACATTACAAGGGAGTTTCATTCGATATTCTATCGGTATCGTAATAAATACAATTGAATTGTGGTGGTGTACTTACGGGCTAGCTCAGCTCTCGCATAATCATCCATATTCGTGAAGGAATCGTCCAGAATCACAGGTTGCAAACATCTTTGACATGTAAAATTTACGCTAACTCGTTCTCCCTCCATTTCTCCACAGTTGTTACTACCAGCTGGTTAATAACTTGTTTTTGGACTTATTTTTAGTTTAGCTTAAACTATCAGTAAAAACGAGAGTGAAAAATTTAATGTCTATTTGCGATTGCATTTGAACGATGAAACACAATCATTTTGTTGTTTGAGAACAAAAGCAGTGAAGTGTTGTGGTGGTTTGAGCGATTTTCTATTTTGACAGCAGTTTCAATGTCAACACGAATGACGTTGTTTGTAAATATACGTTCGTAACGAAAACGAAAACGAAACGATACGATACGAAACAGCGGAACGTCGTGAGTGAGTTCACATTTTGACTCACTTATCTAATGCACACGAATATTATCCTCAACCATCCTCCAGTCGATCGCTTTGAAATTTTTCTCCTGCCTGTCTGAGTTTCGTATGGGAGATTCATTGAAATGAATTCAATTGTAAATATGTACGATTTTGATTCTGTGTGATTGTTTGTCTGTTGCTCAATTCGCGTCTGGTGTGCTGTCGATGATGAATGAGATGACGTAGAACATTTTATTTTGTTTGAATCGCATAACAAAGATTTGAAACACTTGTGCAGCGACTACATGTATTCAAATTCTCTGTACACTCGTATAGGCAAATTGAAGATGATTGACTCTGATTGAGTGGTAAAATGTATGTGAATGCGATGTTCTAGATTATTGTTTATCATGAGCTGTTTCATCGTAGATTGGATGAAAAGAATAGGCCCAATATGTCTGTTTCCTATTGCTTTAGAGTTTTTTTTTTGAATAAATACTTTTGAAATATTTTATCCGAAACATTCTCTCAAAAGTATCGGAATCAAAAGCAACAAATCAGGTGAAAATCAAAAATACAGCGAAAGAGTTAATTTGGTATGACCGGCCACATCGTTATAGCGGCGATGAATGTAAGCACCTCGTATCTCTCGGCCGCTGCTCTGCGTTCGCTCTGTGTTTTGTGTGTTCTCGTTGACGCGTCGAGCGAGCGTAACAAGGTACAGTAGACGAAACCTCGTAGAATAGACATATGACAAGGTGGCCGAGTGGTTAAGGCGATGGACTGCTAATGTTGTGTATAACAGCCGAAGCAGTGATCCATTGCGGTCTCCGCGCGCAGGTTCGAATCCTGCCCTTGTCGCTATCTTTTTTTCAATTTTTTATAACAGAATGTGACTCGTTTATTAATCGGCTGCCTTTTTTATGCGAAAATGTATTTGATTTTAATTTTTAGGAAATTTTTTCTCTACCGAACAAAGCTAGTAAATTAAAATAGTATGAGATGATGGTGTTCATTGCATATGGACTATATTTTATGTCTATTATGGTGATGAAATGTAAGTGGTTTTGCTATTGTGACATCGTCGAGAAATTACTTTTCATATGTACGAATGTGTTCTCTTCTGGAATTCATATCAATCAATGCGAGTTTTACTGTTTTTCTTTGTTCTGTGCGGTTTCAGTCCGATAATTTCGAAGCAATTTTGGTCGGAGCTTGATTTATATCCTTAAAATTTCAGATAGACAAAAAATATTGCTAATGATATTGTCTTACAATAGACTTTTGCTGTATGAAATAAAATGGACAAATACAAATAGAAATCGTTGGTTTTTTCCTCATTTATTTTCAAAACAAAATTTTTATTCTTTATTTGATGTTAGACATTTGTGTTGGATCAATGAACGCCATTTAAAGTCTTCAGCGAGATGTGGCTTAAGTATATTAGGATATAAATTTCAATGGTTCTGTTTTTTGTTTTGTTTCTTTCTATCAAAACGGATTATTACGATTAAATATTGATAACACGGCTGAGTTTTTGAATGCGATTCAACAGCAAGTCGCCCTGTTTGATTGTGGATTGGTATTGCCAATTCTTGTTGTCTGGACGATTTGTTTCGACGATCTTTCCAACACGGTCGACTTTGCAGTGCAAACGGCCAGCAGCGATGAATCGCGAGAGTTCGGCATCGATGTAATCGATGGATACGCCAAATGTGGCGGCCATGTACTCCAAGGTTAGCGAACGGTACGAATCGAGTAGCTGTGTATAGGCGATGATTCTCATTTCACGCGTGTAGAACCGATAATGTGGATTGGCCAAATAATCCTGGCGCAATTCCATTTCGACTTTCGACAATTCTTTGAAGAAATCGGCGTACTGGCAGTCGTACAATGAGAACAAATAGGCTTTGACCGTGGGCAATGAATGCAAAACTTCTTGGATTTCAGCACCTTTGATGACTTTGTCGCGTAATTCGTTTCGCGGCAAGCTGATGATGGCGACATAAACGGTGTAGCGAACGAATGTCACGTAGTCCATCAATTCGTACGATGTGAATGTGCTAACGGTGTCCAAGAAGAAAGTGGCTGCACTTTTGAAATCACGAATTGCAATACTGTAAACACCTTGATAGACCTTCAAGCGATTGCGTCGATCCCAATCGCCGCCCTCTTCGATCAACGATTTCGCCTTTTCAATGTTGCGTGTGATGAGGTCATGGTCCAAATAGAACAAACCCAATCGAATATTGTGGAACACAATATCCAAACGATGACCAAGCGAAACGGTCTTTTCGTACGTTTTCCTAAATGCTGATACGGCTGCATCTTTGTCACCAATACGGCTGAGATACTCGGATTTCTTCAAATTGGCTTCACGCACCTCACCTTCGCCCAAATTCTTTTCGGCGTCTTCGATGGCCGCATCCAATTCCTCGAGCTTCTGTGTGTTGGCTTTTTTCATGTTGTTCAACAGCGTTTGATCGACGGGCCAGCCCAAATCTTGGCACACCAGCTCATACCATGGAGCCATATTCTCCGCCTTGATGCTGCTCATCAACTTTTCCGACAACGTTTTGTCGCTTTTGTATTCGGGTAGTGTCAACAAAAACTTCGTTTGAGCCAACTCCAAGTTTGGGTTCTTCTCCAAACCTTGTTCTTCCAGATTTTCAATTGGCATTTTGCAAATCAATTTTTATCAAACACAAGTTCAAAACTAAATGCACAAACTAAGGAAAACGAGCAGGCGATCGTAATTTTATTGTTGATTTCTCAATTTTTTTTTGCTTTGTGATGAATAAAATGAGCGTATTGTGTGTTGCTTCTTCGGTCTAATAGAGTGTTGGGAGAAAACCGCAATGTCACGTTTGACACGAAGTTGTTTCACATTCAGATGACAGTGCTGCCAACCTCTCAAATTTTCTTTTTCAACGTCTATCACAAACAATTTTAAGTTTCAACACCACCATCTACTTCGCATTCAATGATATCATTTTTGAAAGTAAACATTGCATTCCACTGCTAAAACGAAGAAATATATATATATGTGTGTACAACAGAAATCTTTTTTGACGCAATTTACATGTGTTGTCGTTCAAAAATAAATCAGTGTCAATTAGTCATTCACATAGATTAAGATAGAAATTTTGGATAATTGGACTAAATGTCTGGTTCTTGTTATGCTTGTTCCAAAAGATACGGATTTTTTACCAAAGAGGTAATCAAACATCATATGATCCTATATGAAATTCGTGCAAGGCATTCAATTTCTAATTGGGTAATTGTTGATTTTTTCAGGTAGGATGTCCGAATTGTGGATTTTCCTTTTGTACAAAATGCCTGAAGAAGACGATCGCCGTGCCGAAATGCAATAACGAGGAGCGAAAAGTATGTTTATCATGTTTTGAAAAGTTGTCGATCCAAAAATCGGTGCAGGCTTCGTTGGAACAGCAACAGCAAAAGTAATTTCATGCTCAACAATTGAAATCAATTTCTTTTTTCAATTGAAATTAATCAATTTATGTTGATGAAATTCTTGGCATTTCTCATGAAATAGCAGTCCATTGAAAGTGGCACCAAGCAGTTCGCTGTTAGACGCACCGTTTCCGGATGAAGATAAACTCCCCGATATCGATGATGAGATCAAAAAGCGATTGGAAGTGGTGAAACAGCCAACAAATGATTTGGATAAAGATTTTTCGGATCGTGGCATGGCCGAACGTTTGGCCAATATAAAAGGAGTACCACACAAAGAATACGATCACAGTGCAATGTTGAATGCCGTCGACAAACGTACGGATAATGAAAAGGCGAATGAATTAGTAGCGCAATTTATGCAAGAAGTGAGCCTAGACGACGCAGTCAATGATAGTTATGAGGATCCGATAAAAAGTATTGAACGTCGTTTGGCTGCACTGAAAGGATCGCCAACAGAGCAAACGAGTCAAGCGGCTGGTTCGTCAGAACAACCACATGAAGATGAAGAAATGTTAGCAAAGAAACTCGTTACCAAATACCTAGACGAAGCCGCGCTACCCGATTCCGAACTAACACCCGAAGAAAAAGAATTCGTAAACAGCGTCAAGCCTGGAGAAAATACTGAAGAGTTGCCATGGTGTACGGTTTGCAACGAAGATGCAACAATTCGTTGCATCGGCTGTGATGGTGATCTGTTTTGCAAGGGATGCTTCAACGAAATTCACGATGATGATGAGTATCGAGCGCATCGTACCAAAAAATTTATTCCAAAAGAAACCCAACCGCAATAACTGTTTTTCGATAAAATTGATTTATTTTTCGTTTGGTTTATTTTTTTTTTTGTATCTTGAATTTCAAAGGTTTTAACTAACGTAGTTAGATTGTTAATTGATGCTTAAAAAAATAAATAATAAAGAGAGAGAGAGAGAGAAAAAAAAGATATCATGTAACGATGTAACGAGAGAGTTATTTGTTAAAATTGATATTGCTCTTTGTAATAATGTATGTAGTAATGTTGTTTTCTTTGTTAGAAGACGGATGCATACGCCTTTTTGGTGAATATGCGCAAGAACGCGCGCGCTTTATATTTCTTTGTTAATTTTTTTTGTTTTCTCAACTAAACTATGATCTAGTTAGTTGGTTTTATTTTTAAATTCAAAAATATGGCATTCCTATATAGCCCCTGTGTGTTGTGTGATCACACCAGGTTTTGCGAATAGTACAGAGGCACAAACTGTATTTTTCATGTTCATTTTCGTGTTGAATTTATGCTCGAAAAATGATAACAACGTTGCACTAAGTCGAGTAAATGCACTAAATTAGCTAACAAAATCATCAATCAAAACTTAACCTGCAGATGGCTTTGAGTCTATGCTGAATCTTTGTTTTTTTTTCTCTATATCTTATTTAAAACTGTGTTCAATTGTTACATATATATATATATATATGTTTTATTTATACTTCTTTGTGTTGCGAGTTGTGTTAGTTTGTTTCAGTTTCTAGTTTTATCACATATGTTTCCAATACAATTCGTTGGAATACCATTCTGGTTTGGTAACGACGGGCAGTAAATAAATCCAGCCAATTAAGCCGATAACATAGCAACTTAAAATTATGTATTTCTTATTGTCTTGTTGCAATAGCACTTCCTGAATATCAGGAAAACCCATGTGATTGCAAAATGCGTGCGCTACGAATGGTGCGATAAAATGGCCCGTTTTTGCAAATAAATACGCCGAATAAATGCCAAATATTCCCGTGTAGACAAATTGAAATGCTGCAAACAAAAAAAAATCAAATAAATTAATAAGATCGAAATGAAAACAGAACGATTCTGTCAAAAAAGAGCTAAGAAGCTCTGAGCTTGAATGAAATTTCAATGATGGAGAAAAATTCCACTTACTCGATACAATCAGCGCTGTTTTCCATTCCATTCCCGATCGAACGCGTTCAATGTTGTGATGTAGATGCGCTACACCGAAAAACAGTGGCATCAGAAGAACGGCAGTCGTTGGTCGATATGATTGGAGCAGTAGTGGCATCATGCAGGCACGAAATGTAAATTCTTCCGATAGCGGAGCCACAATATGGTTCCGTATCCATAATATATTCTTAAAGCTATCCACCCAGTACACTGGCTCTAAATACAATTTCCACACGCCATTTATAATAATTGCACAAATTGGTCCAAAAAATAGTGTGGCGGTCAGCAGTAGCGGAACAAATAGCGCCACTAAAATTCCCTTCGTTCGGAATCCCATGATTTCCCATATTGTAATGCTTGTCGATCTATTGGCCAGCAACAAAACGTAAATAAACACGGGCGATATCAGCATCACCATGAACACACTGAAGAAACGTTTCTTCACCGTTGACGGATGATCTCTGCAACAGCCACAACAACAACAACATGATAAATAACTGAAAATCTAAACAAACCGAATGCGCACTAGCCCAGATGGTGAACAACAGTTTTTTTTTCTCATTGCTCACTCTCGTCTCTCTCTGTGCGTGTGTGTTGGCAGATTTTTATGCGACCGATTCTCAATGAAAATATTCGAATCGATTGACATACCTGTTGTGTTCGGATCGCCATACGTACATACTACCGACATAAATTAACGATAGAAATAAACACGATATTGTGGAATAATAAACAGATAATTTTGGTACAACCGTATCTGACTCCATTTTGACATTCAATGAACTGATATTTCTCATCTGACATTTGTTACGATGGAAAAGTGTCCATGCAGAGATGATGATTCAAAAATAAACCCTGCTGCCAACCATAGAAATATGAAATTATTTGTCAAATTTGTTTTCTCTTACAAAAACGTTCGTATATTTTCGATGTATATCGAATGGCGCTTAGCATTTATTGAAAAATCATACATTATTCGTGACAAAAATTCATCAACGTTTTGTCATAGTTAAATGAGCGCAAAAAAAACAAAACCGCAACGAATCAAATTAGACAGCAATAAACCACAGAAATGACAACAACGACAACTACAACAACAATGGCAGCGTCACTTTTATCCATGGATAAAAGTGTCGTTTTTTATCCATGGATAATGTCTGTTCATGAGCAATTCCATTGATTGTACCAACAAAAACCTGTTCAAAAAAGAAATCTAGTTTAGTGGGTTGGCCCTTTTTGGCAGCTTCGTGAAAAATTATGCAATTTTGCGTTTAATTTTTCCATGGTAAAACCAGCCGAAAAGAGGAATTATTTGGCAAAAACCAACATTTAAATATTGTGTCAACGGGAATTTGATGAAATATTGACGAAATTTCGAAGAACTAACGAAACAATTCCGCACCGAAATATTAAAATAATTCAAGTCAAAGAGAGTTCCATTGTGTGTATTTCGTATATCATTTTTTTTTCTCTCTCTCGTCTCGTTCATTCATTGCATTTGGAGGCTGTACGTGTGTGCGTGTGTGTAAGAGTGTGTGTATTGTGAAAGAGTGTCCATTAAGTGTTTTCCTTCAGTTTCGTTAAGTTGTACGTACGTTCGTTTGTTCGTTTGGTGCGTGCGTTGTGTCGGTGTGTATTCGCGTTGCGCGTTTAATATACATATTTATCTAAATACTGTTGTGTATGCTTGCTGGTAAAATTCAAGCAGAAACTCAGAAAAAACTGAACCAATTCTACGACCGACACAGACAAAGAAGGAGCGCAAGAGGTGCACACATAATTAACAAAGCAACCAATCACACACATACATATACATCCACATCCACATCCATCGGGGTGTACACATACACAACAGCATTCATTCGATCGGTCGGCCGTTCGCTGTCGTACGTCGCATCGTCGCATATTTTTATTGTATTTTTGTGCAGTGTTGAATTCATCGTATCCATAGCATTATGGTTGCTGAAGTGTGCTGTTCCATCAAAACCAAAAACAAATATTAAAATGGCTGCCGGGGCTGTAATCATTTGCTCTGTAGTCGTCTCCTTTGTTTAGGGATAAATAATTCACACATACAACACACGAATACATTGTCACATCGATATATATATATATATACATTCTATCTCAAATTCACTTCGTCTCGTTTCCATCAAATCGAAGTGAACGCAGAGCAGCAAGAAAAAGAACGAAATAAAACTACCGAAAAAAAAACGAGAGAGAATACAAGAGGAAGAGAAGAAACGGCGACGACGAGGATAGAAAGAAGCAGAGAAAATAAAACACACAACTAAGAAACCCACACAATAGTACGGCTCCGCGCATACATTGATAAAAAGTGGCACACAGCATTTTTTTATTATTATTATTTATTTTTTTGTTGTTGTTGTTGTTGTTGTATATTTTTTTCGGATTTGCTTCGAATTTTTCTCTTCACATGTGTGAATTTATATACATTCAATTTGTGTGTTCTCTCTGCGCTGGTGTACACCACATCGGTTGCAAATAAAAAAAAAATACAATTATTTTGATACGAATGTAAAGAAGTAATCGGGCAAAGAGTGAACGACAGAAGAAAAAAAAACATCATACCGAATAGAAGAAGAAGAAAAAAAAATTAACGCACACAAACACATACACACTCACCAGCATATACATATATCAGAGTGTGTATCCAATATACAACATCAAAACCAAGAAATTGAACGAGAAAAAGAAGAAGCAGTCACAAGGAGCAGCAGTGGCACGGGCAGTTGTAGCAGCAGGAGAACAAATTTATACATATTATTTTATTTTCTAATTAAATTGGATTAGTTTATTTGGTGTGTATAAAAAAATTGTCAGTTCGCTGGATATAAATATGCCGAGTGCATCGTTTACATCATCGAAATCTTATGTGAGACGATCACGACGAAAAGGTGCCAATCGCATTGCATTGCCGTCAAGAACGTCTTCAGGTAATAAATTCCAGCTTTTGAGTTTATCTCTCTCACTCTCTGTCGCTTACTTACTTGCCGTAAAGTTTTTCGGAATTTTCTGTGATATCAAAAATGTGTGAAAAAAAATTAACCCGAAATAACAACGATTAAAAAGACGTGAATCAAAATGCTTATCCCGTGTAATTTTGTTGGTGCTCGCTCGCTGTACACTTTTTTCTCTTTCTTCATAGTGTTGTGTGAATAAGAGATGAAGACTTTTGTTGACCTGAACGTCGACGACGTTGTGTTTTTTTTCTCTCCATCGACCGATTAATTCCATCCGTATGATTGCAGTATTTAGCCTTAAATATTCAATTAACATGAAATATTAAAATGTGAACGAATTCTTATTCGCTCCAATGAGCCAATGCACAATCCAAAAACTGCAAAATAGTGAAAACAACATGCCAAAACCATGACATCGAAACCATTTTCACTTCTCTTCACTGATTTTAATGGATGGCCAATGAGCCAATAAACCAATGCTCAATTTCAATTTTCTTTCGAATTTTAATGAACATTCGAAAGCAGGTATACAACGAAAAAATCATGAAACATGAAATTAATTGAAATTTGGTGCAAGCAAATGAGCTCAAACACGGGACTTGTGTAGGCATTGAGTGAAAGAAAAGTCAAATGAAGTGTTCAATATTTTAATCAACATTTCCTGTATGAAAAAATGGAAAATTGAAGAAAAAAAAAACATTGTCTAAATATTTTACATTTTTTACGATTGTTTTTTTTTTTAAATGAGATTGAAACATGTAATGCATTGACCTTGTTAATTTTCCATCCATCTAGCTGATCCATGTGAACCATGTCAAAATATTCCAGGCCCAAGTGTTGGCTCTGCTCCAAGTGGAAGTTCTTCAGGTGAGTCACACAATGTTCAAACGACACATTTTCATGGTGAACATGATTCATTGGTTCACCACGAAAAACACCAACCACCCTCCCACCTTACCTCTGAACATCGTTTGTAATGGTCGATTTTTTTTCTTCTGGTTTTTTTTTGTTTCGTTTCACAGCTGCTGCACCAAATCCAAATAATCCAGTAATTCCGAACATAAGTACATCGCCAACTGCCACTTCGACAAATCATCAATCGCCATATGATCTGCGAAAAAAATCGCCGACATCAAATCTTGATATTTGGAGTAGCGGGCCATCTACATCTGCCAGTAGCAATAGCACGTATCAATATCAACCATCAGCATCAACATCCACCTCAACATCAACATCAACATCAACATCAGCATCATCAGCATCAGCATCAGCATCAGCCTCCTCCACATCACAGCCACAACAATCACAATCGTCGTCAACGTCAAACGTTTGTTCCGTTGCATTGGGTCATGCGTCAAGTAGTAGCAGTAGCAGTAGTAGTAGCAGTAGTGATCCAGCGTGCAGCGTCTCATTTTGCAGCATTCCATCATCATCGAGTAGTTGCTACCTATTGCCAGCGAGAAAGCGACCGCGTCGCATTTACTCGGCTGGCATCGATACAACGGTCACATCAGCTGCCCACTACTTGCAATACGAAATGCCCGACGAAGTTCTATTGACGATCTTTTCCTACTTGCTCGAGCAGGATTTGTGTCGTTTGTCATTAGTTTGTAAACGTTTCAATACAATTGCCAATGATACGGAGCTATGGAAGCGACTGTATCAAAATGTCTACGAATACGATATGCCATTATTCAATCCCGAACCGTGCAAATTCCATTTTGTCAAGGCCGAAGATTCCGAATACGCGAACCCATGGAAAGAAAGTTTCCGGCAGCTATATCGCGGTGTACACGTTCGGCCGGGCTATCAAAATAAACGGTACAAGGGTAGGAATATTTGCTATTTTGAAAACGTTCAATCGGCACTGGATTATGCGGATGAACGAACGTCAGCGAACAACAACTGCTCAAACAACAATTTATCATCGGCAAACGTCTCAAATAGTCTAGTTTGTGGTGAGTATCGACGTCTTCAGTGACTAGATTCTTTCGATTTGGTCAATTTTCATTCTAACTTTTATCTTTTCGATCGATTTTTTTCTTCAATGAACAAAATCAAAATATGCGCAGGTAATGAAGAAGTGGCTGAGAATCCGGGCAACTTGATATTCCTGCACGGTGGCCATTATCGTGGTGAATTTTTAGTGATTGATTCGGATGTTGCGCTGATTGGTGCTGCTCCAGGCAATGTGGCCGAATCCATAGTATTAGAACGTGAGTCCGAATCGACGGTAATGTTTGTTGAAGGTGCAAAACATGCATACGTCGGTCATATGACACTGAAATTCTCACCGGATGTCACATCAACCGTTCCACATCACAAGCATTACTGTCTCGAGGTTGGAGAAAATTGCAGTCCCACCATCGATCACTGCATCATTCGGAGTACATCAGTCGGTAAGTATATTTCTATCCACCCGTACTGCCACCTTCTCGAAGCATGTCGTTAACCAACATCCATGTGGGATGATTTTCAGTTGGTGCAGCTGTTTGCGTGAGCGGAGTCGGAGCAAATCCAGTTATACGGCACTGCGACATCAGCGATTGTGAAAATGTTGGCTTGTATGTCACCGATTATGCTCAAGGAACGTATGAGCACAACGAAATCAGTCGAAATGCGCTGGCTGGCATTTGGGTAAAGAATTTCGCCAGTCCGATAATGCGCGAAAATCACATTCATCACGGTCGCGACGTGGGCATTTTCACATTTGACAATGGCATGGTAAGTGCTGATCACCCAATTTATTTCAATCCCTTCTTCAACTGAATTTCACTTGACCATCAACTCAATCTGAATTCCTGAATACAATGACTGAACCGAATTTGTGTAAAATGCTATTTCGCAGGGATATTTCGAGAAAAATGATATTCACAATAATCGAATCGCTGGCTTCGAAGTGAAAGCTGGAGCAAACCCCACCGTTGTTAAATGTGACATCCATCATGGCCAAACAGGTGGCATTTATGTGCACGAAAATGGTTTAGGTCAATTCATAGAAAATCGAATCCATTCCAATAATTTTGCAGGTGTGTATTGAAGAACGTGAACGGATCTTTAATCAGAATAATTGATTTTTGTCGCAATTGTATTGCAATCGTTAATTTTCTTCCTCACTTAATGTTTCATAGGCGTGTGGATAACATCGAACAGCAATCCAACAATACGAAAAAATGAGATTTACAACGGTCATCAGGGAGGTGTATACATTTTTGGCGAAGGTCGCGGTCTAATCGAGCACAATAACATTTATGGCAATGCATTGGCTGGCATCCAAATTCGAACGACCAGTGATCCAATCGTTCGACACAATAAGATCCATCACGGTCAGCATGGTGGCATTTATGTGCATGAAAAAGGCCAAGGATTGATCGAAGAGAATGAAGTGTACGCAAATACATTGGCCGGTGTGTGGATAACAACGGGCAGTACACCGGTATTGCGACGCAATCGAATCCATTCTGGCAAACAAGTCGGCGTTTATTTCTATGACAATGGCCATGGAAAATTAGAGGATAACGACATATTCAATCATCTGTATTCAGGTGTACAAATTCGAACTGGTAGCAATCCAGTGATTAGAGGCAATAAAATATGGGGCGGCCAAAATGGTGGCGTTTTAGTTTACAATGGTGGTCTCGGTTTGCTGGAGCAAAACGAAATCTTCGATAATGCAATGGCCGGTGTTTGGATCAAAACCGATTCGAATCCAACGCTGAAACGCAATAAAATTTATGATGGCCGTGATGGTGGCATATGTATATTCAACGGTGGCAAGGGGATTCTCGAAGAGAATGACATTTTTAGAAATACACAGGCCGGCGTACTGATATCAACGCAAAGCCATCCGATACTGCGACGAAATCGAATATTCGATGGTCTAGCGGCTGGCGTTGAGATTACCAATAATGCCACCGCAACGCTGGAATTCAATCAGATTTTCAATAATAAATTCGGTGGCCTGTGTCTGGCCAGCGGTGTGCAGCCCATTGTGCGTGGCAATAAAATATTCAATAACCAGGATGAAGTGGAGAAGGCGGTGTCGGGTGGACAATGTTTATACAAAATCTCTAGCTACACATCGTTTCCCATGCACGATTTTTACCGGTGTCAAACCTGTAACACCACCGATCGTAATGCCATTTGCGTAAACTGTATCAAAACATGCCATGCTGGTCATGATGTCGAATTCATACGCCATGATAGGTAAAACACATTGAACAATCAAACATTTTCACACATGCTGCGAATGAATTTTAACTAATTGGTATTCGCATTTTTGCGATCGGATTGATAATTTTTTCAGATTTTTCTGCGATTGTGGCGCTGGAACACTCACCAATCAGTGTCAATTGCAGGGCGAACCAACACAGGATACCGACACACTGTACGATTCGGCTGCTCCAATGGAGTCACACACATTGATGGTGAACTAGGATCTTATTTTGATCATAATGCTGTGTTAAACAACTACAAAACAACAAACACACTAAACAAACGTAAACAAAACACAAACATGTTAGAGTGAAATGGAAATAGTATTATTATTGTTAAAACGACGGCAATGTGTAAATGAAATCGGATAAAATGGATTACTAAATCAACAACAACAAAAAAAACAATTTCACCACTCACACAACAACAAACTTCAAAAGAAAAAAAGAATCGCGATTTAAAATCATATGACACAATTACTACAAGCATTTAGTGGTTATTTTAAGCGATAATTGAAAAACACACACACAAACAGAAACAAAAAAAAACAAATAAAATATTAAAAAATTGTATCGTTAAACGAAGCAAAAAATTGTATGAAAAAAAAACATTTAACATGAATTAGGCAAAAACTTTCTGAAAAATGTTGTTTGTTGGTTCAAATCACGTTCAAAACAGTAAGGCAGTGTGGAACAATTTTCTCTTCTCGTCTGTATATCTATCTAAATATTACAACCAAAACAATTAAACACGTATTTATAGGAGAAAAAAAAACATGAAATTATGGCACATTAACACAGTTACAAAGGGCATAGAGTCAAATGTTCACTTACTCAAAAGTAAAGAAAAACAACTAAATGACAACAGCAACAACAAAAAATTATACACATATTAAAAGAAAGCGGAAATGAAGCAAACACAAACAAATAAACAATTCCATTTAAACTAAAGTGCGCAGCAATAAGTATCCTTTTTGCACGATTTTCCTTTTTGCAAAGGCAAACCTGTTATTTTTTTTAAGTATTAGCGTAAATTTGATAGCAGCAGCATGGCAACAACAATAACAACACTAAAGAAGAAGAAAAAAAATGAAAACAAACAAATAATGGTCTATCTGAATCCACTAATATGAGATGATGATGATAAACCGAGCATCAAAAAGCAACGGATGATAAATGAAACAGACTGAATTTAAATGAAAACAACAACATCAAACAAAAATGAAGAATTATTCTTTTTAAAAAAATGTAATTTTTCAAATGGAGAGATAAACTAAAAAAAAATTACACTAAACAATCGTATAGTAAGGAAAATATTCGCCAACGCTTCTCTTGAACGCAAAAAAAAACCATTGAGAACGTGGTGTGTATTCTTTTTCCATTTAAAACACAACAACAAAAAAACAACCTAAATAATTATTATCCAATTTGAAAACTAAATTAAGGAAGAGAAGAAAAAACAAATCAGACACAAAACTTGCTGAAGAAAAACAAGAACGTAATCATCATTTTGAAAGTGAATTTTTGCGAAAAGATTTAAAAAAGCGATAAAAAAAATAATAATTAAACAATAATCTATTTATTTATATTTGTGGATGTGCGTGTAAATTCTTTTACTCCGGCAGAATTTTCTTTTTTTCTTGCGACATTACATTTAGTGTTCATTTTTCAATGTCATTTGTTATTTGTATACAATAGATTTTTAGGCTTTTGAATTGAAGAGTGAATTGCCAGTGGTTGGAGTAACATAGAAAAAGAAAGAAACTAATTGATCGAAGTGCAGACGGACACATAGCAAACGATTTTTTCGGGATTATGTCGGCCGAAGAAAAACAAATACCGCCATTTCACACGTGCTGAACTCTGGATTAGAAAGTTACACGATGGCGGGCAAGAGATCAGATAGAAGATTGTGCTAAATAAAACGAAAAATGTTTCTCTACAAATGTGCTCTCAATCAATGCACCCCCCCCCCACTTGAATCTTTCTAATCCACACTTCAGGCCATTGTGAGAGTCATTTTTATGCTTGAGATTTAATAGACAAATTGTCCGAAATTTGAATTTGGTTTTGTTTATAGTCGCTGTACCGCTGGTAGACCTACTTGAACTGAAACGAAAAAATAAAAGCACATTCAAAATGAATCAAACACCAGTTTCTCTACGATATAAAATATTCTTCAATTTATTCTTCTTTTTTTATTATGTTCTCTTCTTGTTTTTTAGTTGTTAGAACACTTCTCATTGTAATAAGATTATATCATGAAAAAGGAACGTAAACATGGTTTTTTGATTGTCAGTGTTTTCCAGAAGCATTGTGTAGCATTTTTCCAATTTTACCTTTAAACAAAACAAAAAAAAAATCATTTATCGAAAGAGAGAGAGAGAGACAGAATAAGTAACGAAAAGAAAAAAAAATAAACAATTTAAAATAAATAAACTAATTTAAACGAAATGGAAACGAACGGTGAAGTGAACATGTGTACGAATTGTGATTTCGTGCACTTTAAACTCCGAAATCACCTCTAAATCTCTCTTTATTAAATGTAATTTTTAAATGAATTACACATTCACATACACAACATATAGACACAAGCCCGTCAAATCGGACGAACATTATAGGGAAATAGATGATATCAAATGATACAAGTAAAGTAAAACAACACAAACAAATATCATCGTGCATTGATTAGGCTTTTAATTGAATTTCTTTTTTTTGTATTCATCATAATGAATGTGTAATTTGTGTTGAATCACATACACACAAAAAAAGAAACATGCAAACAAAAAAATGGTAGGAAAATATTTTTCAATGTTCATTTCGAAGTCGGGAATTAAAAATTCGAAATCAAAAGCAACAACAAAAAAAAAATCGAAATGAAGGTTTTTTTTTTATAATAAACTATTTATTTTTTGTTCGTTTTATTTTTCCCTCACATTTTATTCGAAGCATTTAGTCAGTGACAAACACACGTCTTGAATGAAACGACAAGAAGAAAGGAAGAAAGGAAGAATAAAAAACAACAACACAAACCTTAATGATTATATAGTTATGAGTGAGCAGCTAAACGAATAAAAAAAATGATGACCATTTCAATATTCATCGTTTTGTTTTTCTATTTGCAATTTTACTGATATGATGTGTAATATGTTTCTAGACTTTAGAGACATGTGCAATTCTTTTTTTTCAAATGCGAACAAAACAGTGCGAATCGAATGAAATAATTCAAAATTCTCTATTCCCAACGAAAAGAAGACACACAAACAAACCAGAAGATACATTTTCAATCGCTCAAATTAATCGTAACCAATTTGATTAAATCGCATTGTAAATATAGCACTCAACCCTCTAAATACCTATTCACTTGTGGTCGATTTGTATAAATCAAGCATTAATTTAAACATGAATTTAATAAAAAGAAAAACTCAATGTTTAAAGACACACACACAAAAACATTCACACTTCTCCAAACGATGACAACAAAAAACGGCAACTACAAAAATGTGTAAATATTAATGGAAGGTAATTCATTTGTAACTTATATTGAACGAAAACAGCACAGCATTTATTAGAAGGTTTTTTTTGCTGAGATAAAATTAAATATTCGGTGTGCTTCTAATTCAAATAACTAATACGAAGATGATGTTGATGAAAATTGAACTGTATTCTATGAGATGGATATGTATGTGTCTCTTCAATAAACCTCTTTTTTCGATTAGTTGATTCAATGTTGTCACCATACAGACTACAAATGCAATTGCGAACCATTTGGAGCCCAACTAGCAAAATTACTCCTTCGTATTCATACACGATCTATATATTTAATTATACGTATTAATTGCAAATATAGACTAATGTGGCCGGCTAGCATTGCCCGTTGTAACAAACAACTATAGCGAAACATGAAATGAAACGAAATCGGTTTGGTTAAAATTAAACCAAGACGAAGACGAAGAAGAACAACCAAACTAATATCAATTCAACAATTATCTCTTGAAAAAACTATGATATGATCCGTTTACCTTCTCATTGTATTCAGTTCTCGTTGAACAATCGATTATAACAATTATTATCAAGTCACTCAGAATGTATGAACTTGAATTACCGCCACTTATTACCTAATAACTCAACCATTAGCTAAAAACCAACAACAACAAATAATAACACTTTCATCGTTCTGGCATATATGTCTGATATTCAATGCGATCTCTCACATCGCTTACAACATACAAATCTATTAAAGCTGAGTAAATGAGCTAACCGTACAGAGTATAAAGCAAAGAAAAAAAAAGAAACAAACACACACAAAACAAACATATTTAAATGAATAGCTGTATGTATTTAGGAGTTTGCACCAAACAATAACGACTACAAACCATTCAAGGATGATATTATTTTGTATTGAACAAAAAGAAAACAATAAAACAAATGTGAACATAATGACGATTTTATCGAATGCCACAAAGATTTAAACAAAATAAATTTTCCATCTATTTGATACATTCAATTTAATTAGTTAATCGCATTCACTTTTTCCTGACAAATTATTTTCATTGAATGAACCACAGCAGGCCATCTATCTCGATATTGTAATGTTGCTACCCGTTTATATGAACACTCCCAAAAATCAGCCATATCCGTTATTAATATACCTTGCAGTAAACGCGTTCATAGTGTTTCACTGTAGTAGCAAAGTATCCTATTAAATTCCACTGTGGTATTACTACAAGAAAATTTAATAGGATACACCGCTACTACAGTGAAACACTATGAACGCGTTTACTACAAGGTATATTAATAACAGATATGGCTGATTTTCGAGAGTGAAGGTCGAATTTTCTTTTTTTAAATGATAATACAAGCCGACAAATAAGAGCTCACCAAACATTTTAACAGTTATAAATTCTTAAGCAGTTATTCTGTTTGAAAAAAGCAAAACAAAAAAAAATCGTGATTGGATTGGTCAGGCAATTAAAAGTCACAAGAAACGAAATAGATATCATTTTACGCAAACAAACAACCAATGCACACTCACCAATATACAATTTAGTGCCAATATTTGATTAACCTCTGAAATTGTTGCCGCAAATTATCAAACCAATTCATTTTGAACATTCAACTAAAGCAGAAAATCATCAAATTCTAACCGTTTTTTTTTCATTTATCAGAGTCCACTGTTAATATTGACGTACCCTTTCTACGTTTGGCTTGTCATACAAAAAAAAAATCTTGTTAAAAATACATTCTCTTCGTGTACACCGATCACCTGACGTTAGAATTTTAGGATGATATAAACAAGAACAAAAAAAACGATCTAGTTTTCAAATGACACACTTAAGTTTTATATATAATGTATTAGAGAGCCAAGATTGGTTTAATCGAGAGAAAAAAAAACAAATAACTGATGAAAATGAACAGAAATAAAAAAAAAATTAAAAAATCAAGGCGTTTTTCTTACATTTTATGTTTCATTTATATTATCCCATTGGAGACAATCCAATCGCATTGGAAAGGGAATGTGTTGATAGTTCCAATAGGTCGTTTTTTTAAAACCGCTGAAAAAAAGATATTATCCACCAACAAAATCATCTCGACAAACAGAAACGACAGACATCTATTTTCGCCTTCAAACTACAGTTGCGGCTGCTTTTGAAAATGAACATAATCAATTCAAACTTTTTACTCAATAAATTTTATTCATTCATTTAAATAAATTGGACACTTTGATACAAGCAACGATATTTCGGTTTAATAAAATCAAAAAAATCACCTAGTTTCTAAACAAAACTCCAAATAGAAGGAATGTATCATTTTAAATTAACCGCTCAACTGTCACTGACGATTCTGCCAACACAACACAACTCAATTGAAGTTGCAGTGTTTAAGCTTTCAAAAACATAACCACAAAAAAAGTCGTTCACATCGTTTGTAAACATCAATCAACGTTCTGGTTCATCTCTTTCTGTTAGTTTTTTTTCCTAGTTTTTCGATAAGTGTGTGCATAAATAGACAAAAATGGTAAGATTCTTTTATTTCACTTATTTACCGATCATTCTATACGATTTAATGTAATAAAATGTTTTTGTTTCAATTCATTTTGACAGGCGCGAAATGCAGAAAAGGCTATGTAAGTAACCGGTTAATGTGATCTCCATATGAAGTGTTGACTGAGGATCTAATGTTTTGCTCATTTTTTCTATTTATTCTTCCAACAGGACAACACTGGCCCGTTGGCGTGCGTCCAAAGAAGCGGAAACGGGTGAAAAAGAGCGTCGACCGTATTTAGCGTCCGAATGCACGGATGTGTCAAAATGTGAAAAGTGGCGTCTGGAAATCATTCGTGAGATATCGAAAAAAGTAGCACAAATACAGAACGGTATGTCCATTTCAATGATAAAGAATGTGTTATTTAATTTGTATATAGAAATAGAATTGTGATTGAATGTTATTTCATTTTTTGTAGCTGGTCTCGGCGAGTTTCGGATACGTGATTTAAACGATGAGATTAACAAATTGTTGCGTGAAAAACGACATTGGGAAAATCAAATATCAGCGCTTGGTGGGCCACATTATCGACGATATGGACCGAAAATGTTCGATGCGGAAGGGAGAGAGGTGCCGGGAAATCGTGGTTATAAATATTTTGGTGCGGCAAAAGATCTGCCTGGTGTACGTGAGTTGTTCGAACAAGAACCACCACCACCAGCACGAAAGACACGCGCCGAACTCATGAAAGATATCGATGCCCATTACTACGGTTACTTTGATGATGATGATAATGTTTTGATTCCGCTGGAAGAAAAGGCCGAGAAAATTGCACAACAACAGGCACTGCAAGAGTGGAAAGAGAAACAAAAGAATCGCAACGGAAACGATGATCAAGAGGAATTCGAAGAAGATGGTGCCGATTATGGGTTAAATTTGATTGACACTAATAATGAACGCAACCAAAACATTTCTGACGATCCGATGGGTATGCTGGCACCACGATTCACAGCCCATGTACCGGTTCCATCGCAAAAAGACATTGAGGCAGCGTTACTAAAGAAGAAGAAACAAGAATTGCTCGAAAAATATGGAATCGGAGAAGATTGAATAAATACACTTTTTTAAACTGCAAACATGCATTTTCGTTTCTGGTTTTTCGTTGGAGAAAAAACAAAGTCACCTAGATTTTTGTTCATTTCAAATTCAAAACGAAGGCGTCGAATGAAAAAAAAACGCAAATATAATAAAAAAGGATTGGAATTTTATTTTAATTTTCTTTTTACAATACGTTAAACTGCACTATGGCAAAGTGATGGGTCCATTATTCTACTGAATTTGCATTTAAAACCAAAATCTGCATTTCACGAAATCCAAAAGAGGATCGCGCATATATTTGATATTTTTTGTCATTTTAAAGTTCATTTGATTTGGCCAATGCTTCTACGAAAACTGTCCACCATTTCAGATATAGCACTAAAGTGCATATAGCATCGTTCCATTAAATATCACCTACGGTATATTTTTTCTATGAAGTAGAAACCGTTGAGGTATATTTTCTTTTTATTGCAAAGTAAAAGCAAGCCAATTTCGTGGTGATTTTATTTTCTATTTGGCATTTCAAAGTGAAATTTCCAGTGGCTCAATGTTACTGTCGCAGGTCAAAATTGTATGAATAACAGAATCAAGCAGCTTATGCACAACAGTTAGCTTCAATGTTAAAATGATAATATAGACTTATCATCTTTCAAATAATAAGTTTTAAATGTATGTGCTGACTTGCTTGAATTTGATTTCAATCGAACTTTGTGACACGACCCATGAAAATCGCAGTTTTAATTTCCGTATTCCAAATTAAAAACACAAATGGATGATTAGCGTGAAATTCTTGAAGTTTGTCTGGACCAGACCAATCGCAATCGCAAAGTGGGAACCATTTTACATAAGCTAGAAAATCAAATAAAATTTATTTATAAAATTGGCAAAAAAAAGTAAATATATAATAAAAAAAATTGTTTTATGCTTACATGCCGCTGCCGCTTCTGTACCATCCTCGTAAACGTCGATGCTTTGTGAAGAACCTCAGATAATTGCTGTTTGCTTCCCAAAATTCCGCTGAATTCGGCTTTATGTTCATCGAACATGTCAACCATGCCCAACTAGCAGAAGAAGAAAGCGTTTAAATTTTATCAGTTTTTATCAAAAAAGAATTATTACACACTGTGTTTACCGCTAATAGTTCGAGCTGCTTGAGTGTTATTGCCAAAATTTTAGGATTCAATACCACACAAGAACTTCTTAGTCGCGGTTTCTTGAAACAATTTGTTTAAGGTATAGCATTTGTTAACGTGAATTTGATTTGCACTCAATAGCGTGGCTTTTTCGTTATTCTTCTGGAGCAAATCATTATATTCGTGAAACAGATTTGCGGTGAATGTTTTATTGTTATTTAAATATAAGCTCTGTCTCATTTGCTCGTATGTGTCTCCATTGGTGGCTGTCGAAAGAACTGCGAGTACGTTCAAAACAGACATTGGTGAAAAAATCACGTTCCCATTTGTTCCTTGAACATATTGCCGAAAAATGTATAGATCGGATTTTAATATACTTGTGTGATATTTCTTTCATTCATGATATGTGATTAGGATGATTGTTCAAGTTACCTGATATAGATCCGATGTAAAGCTGGCCAAATCCATTTGCTAGTTCATTTAACTGAATTGCTGATGCGGGATTTAATAACGACATCGCTTATAATTCTTGCATAAACAAAGTTACAACTTCCACTTGAATATGACGAATGACTTCTTTATTCGTTATGGATTCGTTTTTTAAACCATTTTTACAAGTCAGTTAAACAAATCATTTATCTTTGCAAAATGGAATGAACAAAAGCTACAGTGAAAAAGAAATAGTTTCCATAGAAAAGTCCATAGTCTTCGAAATGTATTGTTTACTCAAGAATTTACAGTTGCAAGTAGATGTATTAAAGTCCAAACATATTGAGTGATAGTTCCGTATTTTTTGTGACCAAAGTGCCAAAACAAAATTGTCTCTATGTGATTTTATTCAAATGCAATGATAGCTTTCATTCTGCTGATTTTTTTTTCTTCTTGATAAACTAACATATTCGCTTGGTGTCATATTATATAGTATGTTATGTTAAATAATAATCATATGCTACTGTGTTCGCCACTCTACATTAGTATAGAATGGTGACTATTTCTTCATGAATTTATCACGAATTTGAACGATTGGGACGTGCTTTATTGGCAATCATTGCAATGTCAACATTCAAATATAGAAAGAAAGACCAAGAAAAAGTATCGTATCGTAATTTAAGCGAAATTTAAACGTACAGAGCGTTTTTTAAAACGTATGAATTCTGGATAGCTTATAACTTCAGAAATATTATACGTTTACTCGTCAGAGTAGCACATATTCTTTTACATACAAGTACCTTTTTGCAACGATTTCAATCATATTCAAAATGTTATTTTTAATCAAATTGTAAATAATTGTCTTGATTATATCAATCCAAATTACTTTTGAGCCATTTGCAATAAATGAAACGGTTTCTAAATAAAATATCTTAAACCAAGTAGAAAGTTTTTTTTTTGTTTCATTTCGATTCTTTTTTTTCAAATAAAGTATTTATTATATTTCGAAAATGTAAGGGAAATTCATACATTTTTTCTTGATGGCAAATAAAATTGATGATTTTTTTTAACTCAAGATATTTTTAGTTTTCCATTATTTTATCATTGTATCAAAAAACTAATAAAATCATTTTTCCCAATAAATTTAGAACCAAAATCTTTGAGTACTATTACAGGTTCATTCATATTATTTGCATTTCTCAAAATCAATGATCGATCTACGCATATATTTGATAATAAATTCTTCTTCTTCTTCAGATCTCAAAGGATATACAGGGATAACAATGTCTGCCGGATGAAGGGCTGCCACCATAGTTTTATTATAACATTAATAAAAAAAACAATGTTGGAAATCGAGAAAATGATCAATTAACAAAAGCTTATTGTAAAATTCCTATTCTCGTTCATCTTCCTTGGTCTTTTTCGCTTGTTGTTCCAGTTTAATCTCCTGAAACATTTTGATTAGATTTTCCGGTTTCAACTCAATTGGAATGCCACCAGTTGCGTATTTCATCCAAACGTGCAATTCCGGTATACTATGTCGTGATCCTTTGGCGCGATAATATTGTTGTGCAATCTTTTTCAACATCGTTCTTCTAATTCCTTCAGGCAAACGACGAGTAGTGAATGTATTACAGACCAATGCACAATTTATGTCCGAAGTGGGCAAAATATGACCTTCTCGCATACACCTTCTCGCAACATTGATGATCATTAACACTATGACTGTTCTTCATATTTGCAACATATTACTGTTCTTGGGGGACTCCAGGGCCCCCAAGATACTTCATATGAAATCTGGACTGTGATAAGAGATAACAAATTAGTGTCTGCAACAAAGTTGTAATACTCAAAGTTTGCTATAATTTTGGTGTAACAAATATTGCTTATCTCTTATCAGTTCCGCAAAAAACGCGAAAAAACGCGAAAATCGCAAAATTTTCCCACATCGTTTTAGTGAAGATGATAAGAAGTAAGAGACTTGCCTCTTCGACAGAAATGTAGAGCAGCTTGAGTACTACAAGTTCACCATAGACATGAAATCGTTATCTCTTATCAGTTTCGCGAAAAATGATTATCAAAAACTCGAATTTTTCGCGTTTTTTCGCGTAACTGATAAGAGATAACGACTTGATGTCTGTGGTGAAGTTGTAGTACTCAAGCTGCTCTACAACTTTGCCGAAGATACCAAGTCGTTATCTTTTATCAGTTTCATGGAATACGCGAGAAACCGCAGAAAATCGCGAAAAAACGCGTTTTTTCCTTATCATTTTTCACGGAACTGATAAGAGATAACGAGATGGCGTCTAAGGCAAAGTTGTATTTCTGGTTGAGTACTACAATTGTTCCGATTCATTATTTCGTTAACTCTTATCAGTTCCGTGAAAAAACGATAAGGAAAAAAACGCGTTTTTTCGCGGTTTTTTGCGGTTTCTCGCGTAATTGATAAGAGATAACGGAATAATGAATCAGAATAATTGTAGTCCTCGACCAGAACTACAACTTTGCCTTAGACACCATCTCGTTGTCTCTTATCAGTTCCGTGAAAAATGATAAGGAAAAAAACGCGTTTTTTCGCGGTTTTCTGCGGTTTCTCGCGTATTCCGCGAAACTGATAAGAGATAACGACTTGGTGTCTTCGGCAAAGTTGTAGAACAGCTTGAGTACTACAACTTCATCACAGACATTAAGTCGTTATCTCTTATCATATTCCAGTTATATTATAAAATAGCCATGGGGCCCTGTGGTCCCCCAAGAACAACAGCGTAACAAGTTTTGCGGCAGGCTGTATTTTACACATACTCACACATATGCATATGTTTTTTTTCATTCGTGTAGAGAAATGTTCAATCTATACAATGAGACTTAACTCCGGTTGGTTTATACACTGTTTAGTACTTTTATTCAACTTTAAAGTTCGCTGGGGGCCCTGGGTGCCCCAAGAACAATCATAGTGTTAAAACTTTGCATGGTTCCAATTTTAGCTCTTCAGCCATGTCCTTGATGTGATTTGCAGAAAAGATGGCCTTACACAACGGAGTCATTAAATAAATTGGCTCTGGTTGCGTGCAAAAGTGTCTGATCAGCTTTTGATACTGAACCATAGCAATCAAACTTGCATGTTGTAGTGTCATCTTCTGGTGTGTTGATTCAATATCCAAATGATTGAAAACAGTTATGTTACTGCAAACGCATAACGTCTTGACGAGCTTCTGGTTGACTTTAATATTTTCATCTTCAACTTCTATGGACGTCGATGCAAAGCTAATCCGCCAAACTTTGTCATTTTGCTCATTCTTCTTCATTTTACTGTACTCAGGCCCAATCTTCATTGGGATGATTTGTGAGAATTCATTCGCCAGAGATTTTTCATCATGCTTAAAATCAATCAAAATATCAGGGCAGATCTTTCCAAATTCAGCAACTAAAGCACTAAAATCCAAGGCTGCTTCATATTTGTCTTTGTCGTCATTGTAGCTACGGTTTGGACGATGTTCATTCGTTCCATACAATTTCAAATCTTTAAGAGCATCTTCCACAATTCTTAGCTCTTTCGCTTTCATTTTTATTGCTGTTGTATTCGAATATTACTTCACGTGTCGATCACGATTTATCTTTTACACGCTCTTTTTCAATCACAAACTTCAATTCTAATATATCAACAAAATAATTGGCAGAAATATGGCTACTATATGACTGATGGACTTTGTACTTTTAGTGTTGAAAAATGATGAGCAACTATAAATGAAATCTTTATCGGCCTTTGTTTATTTTCTTCTACAAATATCTCTATTGCTCTTTATACTGTTTATTCTAAGATTATGGGCCATAAATGGACTTTAGGCCTCTGAACGGTTTCACACAATGGTTCGGAAAAGGAGCACGAAATACCATGGCATAATTTAAGGAATTTCGATTTTTGAGTATTGACAACTGCCATTTGATCTGGGGCGATTAAAGGTTCAAATATCCGAATACATGATGAAGCTTGGAATATCTAGTCTTAGTTTTAGTATATCAGACCGATGGATTTAATTGCCAAGTATTGGAAATTGCAATGGGTTTATGGGCAGTCAGGATTACAACAACAACAACCTACTGCCCATAAACCCATTGCAATTTCCAATACTTGGCAATTAAATCC